CGCTGCTAAACAACTAACATGAGCCGCGGACAGATCAGTTAGAGGAGCGCAGCGCAAAGCAGGCCGACTAGGTATTCCCGGTACAGCTAGCGTCAGGTCGGGCGCAACAGGTGCACGCAGATGCAGGGCAGGGCGGGCAGGGCAGGGCAGGGTCACGGGAGGTCAGTTGGAAGAAACACGGAAAGACGTTGGCTTGCAATGGCAGAATTGGGGTTGCCGACAGCGACCAGGAGGGGCCAGTCTAGCCGCCACTGCGACTGGCACCAGGGTGTCACAGGCGAGTAAGTGCACTGAGCACGATTCAGACGACGTCTGGTCTCTGCCATCCTGCCATCCATCTGCACTGCAGCTCGCCTGGAGAGGCTTCGCAAGCCATGGACCCAAGCCCGGGGGGCTGGAGCTAACGCGCCAGCATGCGTCTCGTGCGGACACGCTCTCGTGGACGCCAGAGACCGCCGTCTATCAAACACGACGATGCCCTCACCCGCCGCGTCGCCCTCTCACAGCCAGCAGCGCCGTTGCGGCCAGCAAACGTCGCTCCCGTTGCGTTGCCGCCACCCTCCGTCCTAGCCTGCCAAATGTCCTGGACATGCCGCGACAGCCCAGTCGACATGGCGACGCTGCTCGGGTAACGTGACTTGCATGTTGCAACATGATTATTGCTGCGCTCGTTGTTTCGTGACGCATGCGCGCTCCTCCGCCTGCTGTAGCAAGTGCAGCATTTCAGCACCCTGTGCCCGGATAATCTCCGCTCAGACAGCCAATTGATGCACATGTCCAAGGACATGATCCGAGCACACCGACTCTGACTGCCGCCATCTGCCTCCAAGAGGTTGCTAGCTCTACTCTAGCGCAAATACGCCGTCTTCGAGAAGTCCTCGTGGAAAGTGATGCGCTGCTGGCGCTGCTGACTAGCGAGGGCTGCAGGACTGTATGTACAAGCACCAGCCTGGCTCCGGTGCCCTGCTCTTGGCGGCCGTGACATGAGTTCTTGCTCTTGTTACGGGTTAATGGTCTAAACATCCTAGTAGTATGTTATGGTGCCATTATTGCGATTCAGGCATTCCGAATGTCCCGTAATTCCAGCTTCTGTCATACCCGAGAGGTTTGCTGCCCAAGATCAGCACCCCTAGTTGGCAATCACTGCCAGACTCCTGGCCAAATGATTGACAGCTGGGCGTCTGGATGCCACTCGCTGCGCTGAGCAAATTGACAATCCATCGACCCGGTAGGTAGTCCCGGAGAGGCGCCGCCATGATCTCTAGCTATAGTAGTAGCCCCACCCCATCTTCAATCCTAGCGCGCCTGATCCCGAGGCCGTCTCAATGGCGTCAGGAACTCAGGAACAAGTCCGTCCTCAGAGCATTCAGAAGAACGCCAGCACTGATTTCAGGTTCAACAACCCTCCGATGTGTTGTTGGTGCATCTTGAAGCGCACACGTGAAGATTCAAACGTGCATGATAGCCGATCTCGAGTAACCTAGATTTCGTGTCAGAGTGGTCAGCTGCCCGGCATTCACTGAAAGGGCAAGCAGTTCCATCAGGCGCTATGCCGTGTTGAGCAAGGAACAACAACGGTATTAAGCCGAGGATCATGAAGGGCCGAGTCTGCCCGGCTGTTTTAACTCTGTCGGATACGGCATAATGACAACTTGCGATAGCTTCAACCCGCTGTCGAGATGCTTAGGCCCGTCTCCGGGCGATCGAGAGTTATAATGTGAAGCGTATGTGCCGGTGAGAATGCAGACCTTTCAGCCACCTCCCAGGCTACGCCTAGTTCCAAGAGGCGCCAGCGTCGATAGTCACCGCTGCTCTGAACAAGCTTGCAAGGCCACGATATCGAGGCAAAGCCTAGTTGCGTCTTGCCTCCGAGTCGGTGAGCAGGTTCAATCCGCGACACAGCGTCTAAAAAAGTCGAAGCGATGCGTCGGATCTGCTCCCTTGCCGATCTGTGCACTTGTGTCCAGAGGCAAGTATGCTAGATCCAACATTTTGTCCACTTTGGCATTCTGTAGTATGCAGGCCTCACCTGAGTTGCATCGTGGCAAGATAGTACAAGGTCGTGAATGTTTCTATCGTTCCGGATTGACATTGTCAGCAGAAGCTCTACTAACAGCCCAGCATAGGGATTTCGTAATCGGTACACAACACGGAGCCCGGGTCGCTCGCTACTCATTTTCCGATGATCCTTCGAGTCGTCGTCCACCTGACCAGTAGTAGACTACGTTCTGTTTTCGTACTGCAAGATTGTGACGAGCGCACGACGGGTTTGACTTGTGCACGTCCGTTGTGTAGCTACGCCGTGTGCCACATGTGTCTCACACATTTGATGCGCACGTGTTTCTGGGGAAGCGAGATAACGAATGTTAAATGTGTTGCTGTTGTGGGACGTTGCAAGTGGCTGTCAAAAAAAGGCCAGGAAGTCGCCAAGACCTGTGCCCTAGCCTCATCCAGACAACCCAGCACACCAGATATCATCTGTAGTTGCTGTACCTATAAGCAAGTCTTTAGGGCGCCTAATTTTTGAGCGCAAGAGAAGCAATGTGTGTGTTCGAGTGCTGAATCTTAAGCGAACCCCTTCAAACACCTATGAGGCAAAGACACGAAAGGACACATGGAGACGTCACAACAAACTTTACCGTACTAATGCTCGGAAAGAGGTCATCCGGACAACACGCTCACGACCCTTCCACAACCTCTTCTCCGTGTCCTTGAATCATTACGTTTTCCATTGAGTTATACCGTGCCTTCAATCGTCGTCTCGGGACAGAAACAAAGCGTTGCGTCATGGCGGTTACCCTGGTCGTCTGTGCTATAGCCGCTATCACGGCCTACTTCTTCGCCAATACCTATCGTAATCTTCAGCGTAATGTTGCGCTTGCAAAGAGCTCTGGTCTGCCTGTGGTAATCACTCCATGCAACGTCTTCAGCACGTTTTGGCTGTCCACGTTCTTCATTTGGATCGCCATATTGAAGAAAATCCTCCCGGTTTCTTGCCGCGGCATATGGTTTGAGTATGCTTCTTGCCATACGTGCTTCTGATATTGGTCTAATCAACGCCCCTAGTATTCTTCATCCAGAATGGGGTCATCGCATTGGCCATGCTCCTTTTGAGAGGCTCGGAAAAGATGTTTTCCTTGTCGCATCACCTACGAGGATTTCTTGCTTCGTGGCCGATGCCGAGGCAATGGTCCAGATCACAACAAGGCGGACTGACTTTCCCAAGCCACTGGACATGTACAAAGCGCTCGATATTTATGGAAAAAATCTGATTTCAACCGAAGGCCCAGAATGGCGCATGCATCGCAAGCTCGCTGCGCCCAGTTTTGGAGAAAAGAATAATCAGTTGGTTTTCACAGAATCGATTCATCACGCCAAATCATTGCTGGGTTTGTGGACTGGAGCCGACGGTCGTGGCAATAAGACGGTAGCTGACCCATCTCACGGGGCAATGAACCTCGCCCTCTATATCATTAGCAGTGCAGGCTTTGATGTACGCGTGGTCTGGCCGCATGAAGAGGGGATTCCGGTAGCAGACAGGAAAACAGAGGGCAGATCCATGTTTGTGGGCTCTGAGACGCCATCTGGTCACCAGATGAACTACCGTGAAGCAATAGGCGAGCTACTGCATAACATCATGTGGACCATTATCATTCCTCCCAAATATCTGCGTAAGTCACACATAGCACGCGTAGTACAGGCTCGCTGCTAACCAATTCGAATAGTCAAGTCACCGATTAAGTTTCACCGCAAGGTTGGCAAGGCAGTCGTTGAATGGGGCCTCTACATGGACGAGCTGTATGAGCTCAAAAAAAAGCAGGTAGCTTCTGGTAATGCTGCAGATGGTATGGATCTCTTCGAAGCACTTATCCGAGGAAGCGGCATCCTCGATGAGAAGACTACAGAACTACAGAAGAGCGACCTTCTTGGTAATGCGTTTGTGCTCATGCTTGCTGGTCACGAGACAACCGCCAATACTCTACACTTCTCTCTGATATACCTGGCCATGAATTGGAGTTCACAGAGGCGACTACAAGAGGATATTGAAAATTGCATGCAGGGCAAGCCCATACAGGACTGGACGTACGAAGAAGACTTTCCGAAGCTCTTTGCTGGCATGACAGCAGCAGTAATGAACGAGACTCTTCGCCTACTACAGCCCATCGTCAACATACCTAAGTCCACTGCGCCGGGACGGCCGCAGCAAATCACTCTTGGGAGAGAGCAGCACACTATTCCAGGTGGAACACACGTCTGGCTCAGCTCCGCTATTCATCGAAACCCAAAGTATTGGCCGGGCCCCGCAGACTCGCCCAGTAATGAAGGCATACAAGACGTCGACTGCTTCAGACCTGAGCGTTGGCTCACAAGCTCGAACAATGGCGATGATTTCGTAGACATTAACTACGACGAAGAGGAACTCCGTGGTCCGTCCGGCGAAGATACGTCCTCGCAGCTCTTCAAGCCCGAAAAAGGCGCGTATATTCCTTTCAGCGACGGGTTCAGATCCTGTATCGGCCGACGCTTTGCACAGGTAGAGGTGATGGCTGTTATGGCTACCATCTTCACACAGTACAGTGTCGAGTTGGCAGTGGATGATTTTGCCAGTGACGACGAGGTTGAGAGGATGCCGAAGGGTGGCAAGCAGAGAAGAGACCTATACCAAAAGGCTTGCGATAGGGCAGACTACTATTTGAAAGAAAAGATGGCCAGCATCGTTACTTTACAGCTGAGGGGTGTCTCCATTCCAATTCGGTTGGTCAGGAAAGGGGAGGAGAGATTTTTGTTCGACCAATGATTGATCGTGTATACTACATATGATTTTAATTTGAGACTGCAATGGCTTCATCCGCAAAAGTGTATTGTTGCAAGTGTAACATAGCTATCTAGCAGAAGTAGATGATGAAGCTACCCCACGCTACGTCATAGGAAGCTACCCCACCGTACGGCGCAGCTCCTTCTTCGGTGCAAAGCTCTCTAACCTCGGTGCTGATCTATTACAAGTTACCCGCTCTACGTATCTTCGCTCCGCCATCTCGACTCACTCGTGTCTATCTGAAGCTATCCGTTCGAGCTAAGACCATGTCGTCATCAACATTCCCACCAGAAGAGCTCAGGGCCATCGTGCAAGAAGTAGCTACTCTCCTAAAAGAGAGAAATGAAACAATATCAGTAGCCGAGACTGCAGGTCCATCCCTTGACGAGCTCGTCTAGATCCTAACAAATCAACAGGCAGCCGGTGGATTGATCTCTGCAACGCTGCTTTCGTTTCCAGGCGCATCCAAATACTACAAAGGTGGCCTGACTCTCTACACGCTCGAGTCACGGATCGCATTCGCAGGCTGGACGCCCCAGCACATTGAGAACTACAAAGGTCCCACGCCGGAAATAGTCTCCGGGCTTGCAGAGCATACGCGTAAGACATTGGGGAGCACGTATACCGTCAGCGAGAGTGGAACCGCTGGGCCAACAGGTGGCACGACCAGAAACCGCACACCAGGATATGTGGCGCTCGCTATTGCGAGGGATGGGGGCGAGACTGTGACGAGAGAAGTGGAGACTGGAAGCAGTGATCGAGAAGGGAACATGCAGCGATTCGCGGTCGAGGGCTTGAAGCTCGTAAGAGATGTGATTAAGGGCGAGAAAAAGCTCTAAGATATGACGTACCTCATGTCGAGTCATATTGACGTGAATCAAGCGAATGGTTTGAAGGACTGAATTCTCAAACGTCCCAGGGTCCTCGAATATCTTTTCCCGAATGATACTTCGACCTGCAGCATACATGATCGCTTCACAATTCCATTGTTGTTGACTTGGTACAGCAAGCCATCATCCGCCTGCAGGATCGCGGAAGCTGTTACCCGCTGCACCGTTACGGCACAGTCGTATGCGCGAAGCGAAATCGACCATATCGGGGATGCGACTGTTTTATGCGATTACCCTAAGCGGCCCGCTGCATCAATATGGGGCCATGATGAATGGTGGCTGCTTGCATGCATTGCGCGAACATTCTCTTCTATGCTGCCTTATTGATTGGCAGAACTGCTAGCATACGTGGATCTGTGGTCGCCGAGCTGACAACGGTTTTCGCGCATTTATGATCGAGCTTACGACCGATGTTTCGGTAATGTGGAAGTCTGGACCGTGATTCGCTTGTGCATTGGCTTGATCATGTGTGATTGTGATTGCGGTTTCCACAAGTAGAGTGAGGCTGAACGGTTCTCGTAGGTGATATTGATACCGGTACATCAACTGAAGCTAAAAAAGTAAATCACAGGTGGGCGAGTGCGTTGGGATTCTCTCCTGAATACATCTCTCTAAGATTTCATTTTTTAAAAATCTCAATGCCGTAACGAGACCCTGACGTGTTGTTATATGTACATAGTCTTGAACGTTGCTCCGTTCAAACATCATACTTCAAGGTCGTACCTCTTGGTTATCTATTCATGCTATTATATCTACACTACTCGTACAACTTGTCTTTTGCGGCGACACTGCTCCCCACCAAGCCAATGTGACCCAGCCACATATCTGGCTTTGTGTCACCTACAAGTCCAGGTACACCACTCAGCCCATGACAACCCTCAACTTCCAGTGTATTTGACTGTTCAGCGAATTGTCTCTTCATGTCCTCTGGCAAGTCAGCTCCAAGTCTGAACATGGTGTATCCGTCCAGAATCGCACTCCAGCGTCTCCTAAAGCCATACTTCACGCCCAGGATAGCTCCAACCAGAGCCCAAGCCACGAAGAGGGTGAAAGGGACTTCTGCCGGCATGATGCCACGCGTAATCACAGTTCCAGACTGGAACTCGGTCACGTTGGGGTTTTGGAATTCGACATGTGAGCCATCTCTACCCGTGAAGCCCTGACCGCCGTTGTACATCAATTGAACCGCGTATGCACCATAAGCACGCAACATGCTTTGCCTCAACTGCTCAGGTTGGAGGTAGCTCAACTGTGTCAAGAATCCAGTGCCGGCATCAATACTCGAAGGATCGTCTGTGTAGGAAGCATATAAGGGAGGCGGGGCGGCTACGGATGTGAATAATGTTGATAGCCATTGGTCTTTGAGCTTAGGCATCACCATGCTGGGTACGTTTGCTCCAAATCGCCACGCGCAGCGTTGAGTTTGGTTGTTGATTGGCGTATCGGTGCGCACAAAGTTCGAGTATGTTGATGTGACTCCATCAATGTCTGCAGTGCCCACGTTGCTGCTGGCTTTGCATTGGACGCCGATTGCGCTCATGGGATGAGGAGAGACTGACGTAGTCGAGTTTGTCTGATTAGAGCTTCGGAATATCGGTAAAAAGTTGCTCAACTTATATGCTCCATACATCTCTGTGATGTTGTGAGAGAGTGTAAAGTTGTAGTGATGGGCAGTTGATGGCCCGCTCAACGTGCTTTTGTTGAGCAAAGATTGCCAAAGTATCGCTTCGAAGACTTGTTCTTGCTCAATACCGGGGTAGTCGCCAGTGATGTTCTCGACCTGGTTGAAGTAGCACGCGGTATTCTTGTTGAACATCGCATTGCTATCTGCGACGCTCAATCGTCTCGGGTCGGGCCAGACCTCATATCCCAATTCCATGACGCCATACGCATTGTATGTCCACTCAGTATCGGTCTGATTCTTGACTTCGATGCTAACGGAACCATTCTTTGTCCGGTAAGACGACGAGCCACCAACGTTAGGTCTGTAAAGAGAAGAATTGCGATGGCTCAGAATGCGAAAGTCTTGGAGACGGTCGACGATACTGCAATTGTACTGCATCAAAAGGCCCCAGCTGTTTCCCTCGATTGGATTTGCGGCTTGGGCGGCAAGGAAGACCCGAGTCACGCCGTCATATTTGGGTAGGACCGTAGGTAACTTGCGAAGATAGGTATTTGAGGACCGGTCGTACCCTTGAGGTGTGTATAGAGCGCCGTAGCCTAGGATGCGAGTGTCTAAGCCATTTTGCCAGATGATCCTAGCCCCATCAGAAACATCCGCCACATTCCGCTCGTTGAAGTTTGAGTAGGAGAAGCCTTTCACTGGAGGCCCACCGCTGACATTTCGGCCGTGAAGATGTCCTTGGGTTATCTCAATTGTCGATCCAGATATAGGATAGGCAATGAAGATGAAGATGCTCGGGAACGCCAGGAAGAACCACAACGCTGATGGAAGCTCCAGCTTCCCACTTCCTCTGCTGAGCTGCCAAGACCAATTTATTATCCTCATCCATCCTCCAGGTCCGCTCCAGGTCTTCTCTCCATGCATCATCAGCTTCATACCGTTGGTGGGATTCCAACCAGGTTCCATTAACATACTGGCCTCAACACCTTCAAGGCCGTACTTGCTGAGACTCAGCCCGACGACACCAATAACGAACCAACTGTAAAGGATCCATTTTGCCCCAGCCGGTCCGAATGGCACAGGATTGTTGGGATCGATCGGAGCAAGGTAGTATCGCCAGACTGCGAGGTAATATCCAGTGACGATGATGGGCCCCAGAACACCGACAAGGGCACGGAAGTAAAAGCGTCGAAGTGGGTGTCCGCCGGTTTGGTCGAACTCGGCCAGCTTTTGGATGGTAACTTCGGTCAATGATGTTGGCTTTCTGGCGTTGTCGAGGGACCTAGCCAGTCAGAAACTTCCACATGTGGACCTTCCATAGGTGTAGAGGGTACTGAGAGCCGTACCTTGTACCGTGCGACCCCAAGTTTTCGCCTTGTGCAATGACATCGTATTCCGTATCGTACCTCATTGTACTCAACGATATCGCCAACTGTGCTTCGTAAAGACAGCATGAGCGAACCCTTTCACTATATATCTCCTCGTGTTTACCGCTCCCAACTTGCGTTTAGCACTTTTGCGCACTACTCCATGTACACCATACCAATCGCGTGTTCCGTAACCTTGTTACCTATGGTAGCATGGCACCTGCCTCTTGGCCTTCAAATTTACTTTACAGACAGGGGAAAGCGCCTCCTCCACCGCACTCTTTACAGCTTAGGACTCATGTCCTGACTCAAGCCGCATGCTGGCGGTACCCGTGCACTTCCTGAGGTCGCCAATCCCTTTGGTGAGGTGTGCGAGTACGTTGTCGAATCTGAATGTCAGCAATTTAGATTGCTTTTCGCGTGGGCCAGAACATCAGGCGCACCAGTATTGCGACTACTGGACAATGAAATATGCATGAGCTGCACGGATTTTATGGAACTTGCGTTGATCATCAATTGATAGGTAGATGTTAGACCAACGACTGAGCGAGGCTAGCTGGGGTCAATGCGAGTGCGGCCATGTATTTAGCTCTTTTCCAAAAATGTATGCTTTATAATCTTGGTGTATAAATAGAACATCTTGTAAATGCTCCCGTGCTCAACCTCACAACTTCTCCAGCCTGCACAACTTTGCAGCAGTCTTGCAACGTGAATTATGGCCGATTTGTTTTGCAAGTCAAGAGGCCTTACTCCGTCTTCTTGATCCAAAACAATGCCCAAGCATAAGATGTTGTTACCCAGTTTAGGTTTGTCCATGTTGCTGAAGTTAGTAAGACCTTCTGCTCTTTCTCGAGGTCGACAAGAAGTATATCATGGTATGATTTAGATACCCTCTGCTAGCAGGGCTTTACCCTACTGCTTTGAGTAACGCAGTGACCTAAACGGAAGGTCAGTCTCTTCCTTCTTCCTCCTTAAACCAAGAACTTGATTGAATGCCGCATAATCATTAGATCTCTCGTGACACAGAAGTTCATCGGTTAAATATAACGGTTCAATAAAGTACTTATGCTTCCTGAGGTCCTTCTCATTCCTACTCCGATATAGTTTGTGTCATTCCCTCTCGAAAACACTCGCTCTCGCTCTCGTCCTTTTCTCAAGAAATTGTCGTCTGCGCGCAAAATAGGCGCAAAAACCAAACCACCCTGCCCTTCGCAGGCTGCTAACAGAGTCGAACTGTCGAAAGAACATATCTCACATCACGGGTCCACTCCAAAGCCTAGGCACCAGAGTCAAATCCAGGGATCAACAGATTACTTCTTATGTCGGTGGTTTGATAATGGATTCTTGATTTAATCGATAGAAATACTATTATGGCAGTGAGAGGTTTGTTTACTAAAAGGATGGTTTGTTTGGGAGGCGAGGTGAGAGTGCGCGGTTTAAGTGGGGCGGCAGGCAATCAAACAAACAAACGGACGACGAGCGCGTTTGGGAGGAACATGGTAAGTTGAAATGGAAGTAGATGGGGCGGAAGAGACGATTTGACTACCGAATTTTGTGGTGCTTGACTGTCTGTTGTGGCACCTACCTACCGAACTGTTCGCCTCAATGAGGTCTTCATCAGGAAACAACCTCGCCTGCCAGCCTACTCACTGGAGTACCGCATGCCACTGAGATCGATCAATCCGTCTTGTTGAAGTGTACTGAAACCCCGCTCTTGCCGTAGATATGTGCGTGAAGGTCTATAAAGTCATGTAAGTTAACTGCACAGTGGTGTTTGTGAAACCTGGAGAGCATCTTCATAAGAGTCCTAATGTGATCCCTCATCATGGCCTCTGCGACGAAATTATGGTGACAACCATCATGACACGGTAACATCCATGGGGAGATTCGACCGACCAGCAATCACGAATATAAAGCATACTTTCGTCTATATTCAAACTCTATCAATGCACTGCATATAAGACACCAAACTCCTCTCCCGGGTATCCCGCCTCATCAAATGCATTCATCGTCCCAACGCAGACTATAACTCATCATGCCCCTCATCTTCTTTCGGAAACTTGATTCCTCCCTCGGGCCTGCCCATTTCTTCGTCTAGCTTGACACCGCCCTTCTTCCTGTACTTCTCCCAGGTCGCCCAGAAGTCCTTTTCCATTTTACTTTCCATCAAGTCTGGTAGTACGACCACGTATTCGACGTGCAAATCGCCGTATACTTCGCCCTCGTTGTTTTCCAGTTGCTGGTGCCATATTGGCATGCCCTCCTCCTTGACGATTTCGATAGTGTTGGGTTGCACGACTTCGCCGCGCTTGCGGGAGAGCTTTACCACGTGGCCGTCAAGATGGGTGACGTTGCGTGTCCAGTCGCCCATCCATGCTTCCCGAAGAGACAGGACCTCGCGCCAGAACAAATCCTTGCCGCGCCGGCGGAAGAAGGTGCCATCTGTACGCTCGTGATCTTGTTCGCCAAGTGCAGGGTCCTGCTCTGCGAGATGTACGACGAGATCTCCCGCAACGTAATCGGGGCTTTCGTCGGCTTCGTTCTCGTATGTGATGCGCACACCCTTGGGCATGCCCTTCTCAATTTCCAGATCGTGAGTCTCGGATTCGCGGACGACGCGACTGCCGCCACAGACCTTGCATGGGTGCTTGATGGTCTTGCCTTTGCCGCCGCACTTGTCGCAGTGCATTTGCACTTGTTGGAAAAGTCCAGGAGCAAGCTGTTGACGCTGTATAACCACACCTCTTCCGGAGCACTTGTCGCACGTGTCTACGTGGCCATCTGCTGAGCCTGAACCTTCGCAGGCCGAGCATACAGCTTGCTTCTCAATCGTGAATTCCGTCTTGCGCCCATTGTAGAAGTCGCGGAGGGGAACGGCGACTCGTACTTCCATGTTTGGTCCCCGTCGCTCCCCGCCGTGGTGTCCAAAGTGTCCTGAGCCACCGAAGAAGCGCGAGAAGAGGTCGAACGGATCTCCTCCTTGACGCTGTCCACCGCCCTGCTTGCGTTGTTGAATGCCCTCATGGCCGTACTGGTCGTAGATCTTTCGCTGTTCCTCGTCGCTGAGGACCTCGTACGCTTCGGCGATTTCTATAAACTTTTGGTTTGCTGATTCATCCCCACTGCTTCGGGTCAGTTACATTCGCACAGGTGGCAATACGCATGGTTTGAGATGTTCGACGTACGGGTTTTTGTCGGGGTGATATTTCTTGCTGAGGTTTTTGTAAGCCTTCTTGATTTCGCGGTCGGTAGCATTCTTCCTGAGGCCGAGGAGCTGTGATACAATTGGTTAGTAAATTGCTTGAGCTGGAGGATGTCTCACGGGGATCATAGTCCCACGAACCTTGTAGTAATCCTCAGTAGCCAGCACGAGCAGCGCCAAGCACGCAAAGAACAGTGCTATTCTCAAGAGCATCCTGCTCTCTAATGCACCGCAAGGGTGTCTAACTTGCCGAAAGAGTGGACGGAGTTATCCAAGTGGAATTCAAGGACAAATATCTACATGAGATGTAAAACAGAATTGAAGCAAGAGACTTGCGAAAAGTAAGGGTGGAGGTGCGGGTGAAGTCAAACGTGGAAGCTGGATAGTTGTTTAATGCGGGAGCTTTGGGACACGATAGCACTAACTCACCAATCGGAGTGAAGTCTTGGCACGCGCGGCTGTCGTTCACTTTTTATGCGGAGGCTAACAACCGTCGAGGGCATCATCAATTGGCGCGCAGCGACACGACACGAGCACTTACTACCACGCACATACCGAGGACGCATTCGCTTGCCTTCTTGATACCTGACAGACGTCTCACACACACCGCCGCGCCTCGAGCGCTCCCGCACGAGACCTCCGCAGCCACCTCCGAACCCACCACACTTCACACACACACGCCCACCATGGCCTCGCTGCTCTCACGCACCGTGAAGGCAGGCGCAAAAACGATCCTGCCACCCTCAATCCACTCGCAGAAAGTCGGCGTCGTCGTCTCCGCCGGGCTCATGAAAGGCGCCGTCAGAGTGCGAGTCGCAGAGCAAGAATGGAACACGAAATTCCGCAAGCAATGGCCCGCGCCCCGAACATATCTTGTGCGAGATCCCAACAGCTCTCTCGTACCTGGGGATGTCGTCAAAATTACATCTGGTCACCGGACAAGCAAAAACATCCACCACGCAGTCACCAGCATAATTGCGCCGTTTGGCGAGCCAGTGGAGAACCGGCCGAAGGTGTTGACAACGGAGGAGTTGGAGAAGATCAAGGTGGAGAAGAGGTTGTTGAAGGATGTAAGGAGTGCGAAGAAGGGTAGACAAGTTAGCATTGAGCGGCTTGCACTGGCGAAGAAGCAGGGTTACAGGATACCGACGCTAGAAGAGGCGATGAGAGGGACGAAGGAGTACGAGGCTGAGATGAAGGAGAGGGGCGTTGGATCAGGGAGGGACGAAAAGCACAAGGGCCAGGCTGGACAGAACATGACAGCGAAGCGGAGGAGAATGGAGGAGAACAGGAAGACCAAGGAAGAGGCGAAAGCGGAGAAGAAGGTCAAGAATGGGAGGAGGCAGGCGACGACATAGGAGTGAGTGAGTCCATACATTCAGGATTGCATGTCTTATTATGTACTTGTATCATGTTTAGAAGGCATGCTGTACGTTGTAGAATACAAGGTGAAGGGTATCGCAATAACATCGAACTACCGTCCCTAGATGGCCAAAACTCCGATTCCATGCTTGTAATTGATTATGCGCCGCCCATATGCTTCTTTGTGACCCGCGATGTTTCCCATTCCTCATCAGTCGTGTTACGCTTCGACCAAGTCGACCATATCCTCGTCTGCTTCGCTGTCTTCGTTCGCTTTTGTAATGAACGGATGGCGTAGTGCCTCATCGGCAGTGATACGCTTTCTTGGGTTGCACTCCAGTAGCCGATACAGGAACTGCACAGCCTCTTTTTCCTCATCCTCAAGCTCCCTCTTTGGTTGTGTCTTGTCACCGGTACGTCCGGTGCACCAGAGTATGATTTTCTCCAAGGTATGGCCGCCCTCGCTGTAGCTTGGCACGTTAGTCTCAAAGACCTGCCCGTGAAGGATGGACGTCTCTCGCATCTTCTTGCGCCCGAAAATAGTTGTAATCTCCAGTAACGCATCAATGTCGTCTGCGCTGTGGAAGAAAGGAAAGCGGCGTGACAGCATGGTGAGAAGAATCACGCCGACGCTCCACATATCGATTGAGCAGGTCTGCTGCGTGCATTTGAGAAGAACTTCCGGCGCACGGAAACCACGGGTACCAGCTCGGTTGGCTCGACGGCTACTACGCGTATCATTCTTGGGATAGCTGGTCGTGTTGTGTCCTGATTGCTGAGTCTGCGCATATACGCTGTGAGCGATTCTGTAGCGGCGGTCATCATCTGTGAGGTGACATGTGCATTGATGCCAATCAGTACCCTCACGCTCAGCGAGGCCGAAGTCGACTAGGACGCCCCTCGATAGAGCAGGGTTGTATAGGAAGTTGGTTGGCTTGACATCACGATGGATGATCTTCTTTGCATGTACAGCCCGCAGTGCAAGAATGAGACTGCGGAAGTATAGGCGCATCTCTGAAATCTTCATGTCGCGGTAGTAGTCGCGAAAGTCGCTGTGCTGATAGTAGGGCAAAACGGCGACAACCTGGTCCAGGTGGCGGAAGGCGGTGATGATTGGGCATACTGAGTCGGCACCCCTCAGATCGAAGAGCAATTCGAGCTCATTGAAGATTCGTATCGGACTGCTAGTGACATAGATCTTCTTGATGGCTACGTAGTGGGGTCGTCTGGCCTGGCGTCGTCGGGTAGCTGGTGACGACCACTTTCGCTCCTCGTGTTCGTCGACGTCCCAGCCATTGTCGTACTTGTTGTACTCCAGGTCTTCAGCCTTGTACACGGTTGAGAATGTTCCTGCAGTACATGTGAGCCACCCCACTACCCTGCATACTGCGTACCAAGTATCTGATACATACCTTCTCCGATGCGGTTAATGAGTCGAAACCGCTTGTTGATGCCAGAGAAGGACTCTTCAAAACGCGCAATGTCTTCCTGCACGGCATCCTCGACCTCTTCGTCACTGCTGTCCACCGTGTGCCCGCTCTCTTCAAGGGGATCCATGCTTTCGTCTAGTGTCTCTTCGGCGTCTTCCTCTTTGATGTCGTCCTCGTGCACGTCAATGTGCTCTGCATTGCGCAGTGACGCGCGAGCTCTAGCTGTAGTCATGATGTCGTGTTCGTCGAGTGGAAAGGTCCCAGAGGCGCTGTAGCAGACCCCAGAATGCACCGCGGTGGAAGTCGCGTTGCGGATGTACTAGCCGAATCGGGCTAAACAACAACAATGCAACCCTGCCCGCCGCAAACACACCACACGGACGCGCATGTTGTGCGACATTGCGATCGGATACTAACTTTCACCAGCAAACAGTCCCTCGACGGCGCTTTCGTCGCATCTTTCTGTTCTTCTTGTTATTCCCTCTTGAGCGATTCTGCACATCATGGATGCACGTGTGGATTTTGACATCAACGAGGCGATCAAGCTGTTCGACAGTGATCCCTCGACGATTCCAACTCCCGAAGCCGCACAAGCACTGCTAGAGTGCGAAGATGACCCGGAATCGCTGTCTTCGCTGGGCCTGATCAACAGTGAACTCAATCCTGTTGTAGACGCCGTAGCGGAGAGCCCAGATGCGATTACCCGCAGCTCTGTCTTTGACACACTGCAGTTCTTACTCAAGTGTGTGCCCGCCGTCCCTATCGATTCCAAGACTTGGAAGTCGCAGCCGCAATCTAACCTGTTCAAACTCTCTAGATCTTCGTCACAGATACCACCCGCCTCACTCAGCAAAATCCTCGACCTGATCGTCTCCGCACTTGCGACACAAGCCGACATCATACACGCGGACCTGGAGGCTGAAGAGCAAGATGCCATACCATACCACAAGAACATCCTGGAGATGTACGGCTTCCTATTACGATGGACAATCTCGGCAGTCGAAACACGCGCGCTCGAGAAGTCGGCGTCTGCACCGGCTGCGCGAGGGCGGGGTAAGGGTGCGAAGTCGAAGACCGGAGTGAGCAAAGATGGCACTTGGGATGCTTCCGCACAGCTTGAGACAGCCTTGGACCGCATGAGCAAAGTACTGAAGCTGAAGCTCGGTCGCATATTTGTCACCACATCGGAGCGGGACACCTTTATCAGCCTCTTCACCAAGCCGGTCTACCACATACTTGAGAACGAGACCAGGGTCAAGAGCAATGCAATCCGAAACCACTGCTTTAGGGTTCTCTGCATTGCCGTCAAGCACCATGGACATGCATACAGTGGGTTGCGTCCGAACGCTGCGGGAATTTCTTGCTGACATTGCAATAGCGGCACAAACTTCGATCAACCAAAGCCTCACATACTTCGAGCACTTGTCAGAGCCAATGGCAGAATTCCTGTTCACGCTTGCCGACGCTTACGACTACCCGCAGCTGACCGAGGAAGTTTTGAAGGACATCAGCAGCAAAGAGTTCAGTGCAACAGATTTGAAAGGACCAAAGTCGATATCAACCTTCTTGACCAAAATCTCGGAACTGACCCCTCATCTTGTCATCAAACAGATGACGCTGCTCGCCAATTTGCTAGACAGCGAGTCGTACACGCTACGATGTGCGCTTATCGAAGTGTGTGGTAATTTGGTTGCCATGCTTAGCAAACTGAGCCAGGACGACCGCAGCGAGAACCACAAAGCGCAAATCAGGATCTTCTTCGACGTCTTGGAAGAACGCTTCCTCGACATCAACCCTTACTGCCGATGCCGAGTAATGCAGGTTTACGTTAAACTGTGCGACTTGGGGCAAAAGAACCCCAAGCGCATGCTGAAGGTGGCTGAGCATGCAGCCCGAAGTCTCGAAGACAAGAGCAGCAACGTACGACGTAATGCGATCAAGTTGCTCGGAAAGTTAGTCTCGACGCACCCATACACAGCTTTCGACGGAGGTCTTCTCACTGCACAACTTTGGGCAGGGAGATTGGATGAGGTGGAAAAGGAAATCAACGCTCTGCAACCCCCAGAGGAGCTGCGTGAACGTGCACCAGGCGATCAGACTGTAGATGAATCGCTTCTCCAAGATGCAACACAGGCCGACAATGCCGCGGACGAACCAAAGCACCCATCTGAAATGTCTGAAGAAGAACGTGCCGCTGCCATCGAAAAGGCACAGAAAGATGCAACGACTACACAGGCATTGGCCAAGCTCCATGACCTGCGGAAGCTTTTGGTCGAGGCGCTCAACTTCGCAGAGGCTATTGACGAGGCCGCAGAGATTGTCACACAATTGCTATCGTCAAAGAACAAGAGCGAAGTCATTGAAGCCATGGACTTCTTCGTCACAATTCATGCCTACAAGGTCTCCAACGCGAAGCTTGGCATCCGGAGAATGCTTCGTCTCATCTGGACCAAGGGCAACAGCGACGAAGGCAAAGGAGTCCAAGCTCACTTGCTCGAATGCTACAAGGGTCTGTACTTTGATGCTCCTCCAGGTTTCGATGCCAATGCGACTGCCAACTACATCTCCAAGGGCATGATTAGTCTTACCTTTGGTACGACTCCTGCTGAGCTCACGTCACTCGAACAGCTTCTTAGCACAATGATGAAAGCAGGGCCTAGTCAAATGCGCTCGTCATACAGAAACTTTGGCAGGGTTTATGGGTACCAAAAGAAGGATATCTCAAAGAACCAGCGCAGAGGTGCTATTATCGTTATTGGTATGCTTGCACTTTCGTCGCCAGATATCGTGGTACAAGAGATGGAAACATGCTTGCGCATCGGTCTTGGAGAACTCGGAAGACGAGATCTGGGTTTGGCTCGATACACGTGTATCGCCATACGTCGCATGAGTCCACCTCCCGGGAAGCAAGCTGCCACTACTGCTCCGACCCAAGTCGTCAAATTGCCTAATGACCACGCGGTTTTAGTGCGGCTAGCGGCTATGACTGAGATCGTCTCAGACAGCAAGGAGTGGTATGGAGTTGCAGAGCAGGCCATCGGCGCCATTTATGTGCTCTCAAAGCATCCAGATGTCATTTGTTCCGAGATCGTACGGCGCGTGACAAAGCGGGTATTTGCCTCGCAGACCCGACCACGATCACGTCCAACTACGAGTTCGAGCGCCGAAGAGCCAAGTCAGATGCCAACGCCCACAGACGCAGATGATGTGGTACAAGAAGAAGTAGCAGAAGAGGAGGCCCCATCCAAAAAGCAGAACTCGGCTTTGGCACTTTCACAACTGTTGTTCGTTGTTGGTCATATTGCCATCAAGCAGATTGTGCATCTTGAACTTTGCGAGCTTGAATTCAAACGTCGCAAAGCAGAGAAGGACAAGAAGTCTGCGCCCGCGCCTCGCAAATCGATGACGCCGGCCCCAGAACCCACACCTCTGAAGAAAGGTCGCAAGCGGGGGGCTGCAAAAGAGCCAACTCCGGCACCAGAAGAGGCTGCAGACGAGCTCGACCTCATGGCCGGAACTACGGAAGATGACTTCACCGAAGCCATTGCTCATATTCGTGAGCGAGAGTTACTGTTCGGCCCCCAGTCACTTCTCGCCAACTTTGGTCCGTTAGTGGCAGATATCTGTTCGAACAACACATCGTACAACCATCCTACGCTACAAGCTCAAGCAGCGTTGTGTCTTGCTAAGCTTATGTGTGTGAGCTCAGAGTACTGCGAGAACAATCTTGGCCTTCTTCTCACCATTCTCGAGCGAAGTCAGGACGCTGTTGTGCGAAGCAATCTCGTTGTCGCGTTGGGTGACATGGCTGTATGCTTCAATCACCTCATCGATGAGAACACCGACTTCCTGTACCGCCGCCTCAACGACGGCGACCCAAGCGTCAAGCGTACGTGCCTGATGACCTTGACATTCTTGATTCTTGCTGGACAGGTCAAGGTCAAGGGTCAGCTGGGTGAGATGGCCAAGTGTCTTGAGGACAGCGACAAGAAAATTGCGGACATGGCGCGCATGTTTTTCAGTGAGCTCTCCACCAAGGACAATGCTGTTTACAATCAGTTCGTCGACATGTTCAGTGTGCTCAGTGCAGACTCGGCGCTCGACCACGATGCTTTCAAGAGGATCATCAAGTTTCTGGCTGGCTTTATTGAAAAGGTATGTCGTTTTGCAAACCAAGAATACCTGAGATGCAATATACTGACTCCATGCAGGACAAACACGCCAAGCAGCTGTCAAGCAAGCTCGCTGCCAGGCTGCCAAGGGCGGAGAATGAGAGGCAATGGGACGAGGTCGCATACACGCTTGGTCTTCTGCAGCACAAGGACGAAGAGATCCAGAAGATGGTATCCGAGGGCTTCAAGGTTGTCCAAGCAGCGGCATAAGTGTTCTATATTTGACGTTAATGGTGTAATGATTGCATGTTGGATATATGATACCTTGGGAACGGATCTGGCACAAGAATATTAGGCGTTGGCGTGTAATGAGTTTTTTTCTACAATCAACACGATTGGAAATGCCTTTAACCATGAGTCTTACATTCGATATGTGCGCTGATAGTTTTGGTGGACAGGTCGGGGCTTATTTCTGGCCTGCTTGAGAGGACTCCGACATGGGGACGCGGAACCCCAGCATGTGGGAAGGATGGATTAAGAAAGCGACTCCGATGTCCTGGTACTTCCACCATAGTCTGTTTGTAGAACTGCCACACCTCACACTGCGGTTTTTGTATGTTGACTTCAATTCAGGCTAGCACACTTGCTTCGACGCGACTTAGAGCATCTTCACAACCCGATTTCAGTCCCATGCTTCTACATTGCATTTGAACGTTCAGAGGTGAAGTATCGTTGCTCGAAGTACCTAATCGGAGAGCGCCATAGTGTCATGGCTCCCAGATCCTTGGCAACGTAGATGTCTGGGGAGAGTGTGCTGACGAGAGGTGAAGTTGTGTAACGAAGGCGCATCCGACGAACCTTGATGGAGGACGCAACGCCTCAACCTGCATGTGCCTTATATGCATCAATGTAAGCAGCGAATCGCACACCGCTCTTGCTACATGGCAGACCGTTCGATCACCGGGGAACGAGTAATCCTTCTGGAGAACGGCGCCATGCGCTCAACGAGTCAGAGCTTACTGCTCGCATTTGTGCGAGTGGTCGGTCGAAACTAACCTGTCTACACTTCCCGGTTAGGTCAGCACTGTATCGGCCATCTCTAAGCAACAATACGTCCGTGTTGTAAGCAGCTCACCCTTCGATCAGCCTGCACCGCCACACCTCAGGACGCTCAGGTCTAGCTCACCCTCAATCACTAGACCGGCAAATAATCCATTTTCGCGCGAACTTTAATCCGACTTATAGCGTTCGTGTAGTGTTCCTCGTGCCGGAAAGGTACCCTTAAAAAGGGCTATCGCAGTTTATTAGCCGACTAGCTAGAGAACAACCCTATATAGCGACCACGTTCTTACACGTGGCTATTAAATTGTCTGATCTTCTGAATGCTAGACGAAGCCGAGCTCAAATGTTGGAGAGCACCTTGCGTCCGCGGAAATACATTCAACAGTAGTTATTATGGTACGCTTGACGCGCGCACCTATACAAGCGTGTCTTTACCAACAAGCACTTTAACAGAATTTAGCATACTAAGCATAATGACAGTCTCGTCCATGTTGGAGACGTTCTCTCGTCGTGTAGCTGGGGTTTAAAGTTCTTTTCCGATCACTTCAAACCAATACTTATCAAATTTGTACAATCGCCTCAGGCGAGACTGGGGCCTCCGACCGAGGCAAACATTACAGGAGCCGCTCTTGCGCGATTCCGGAACCGAGAATGAACGCAATATTGTCTCCGAACCTTTACACTAGGTTTGCACTGTCGCAGTGACGTGACTAGTCTCATTGGAAGCCAGGATGTGGAACGCGGGCAATAACTAAACTGCACGCGCAGTGTCTTATTTAAGGAAAGTGTGAAGGTACCCACGACTCTTTCGGCCGGATGTGACGTTACATCGACACGTTATATATAGCCTCAATACAATCGTTTTTTTCAAGCACGGACCTTCTGCGCTTCACGTCCTCCTTTAGGCAATTTAGTTCAAGGGTACGCATAAGACACACCAGAAACAAACTAGACTCTCATCGGCAATGCTTGTTTCTGTTATGCACTCATTTCGGCGATGCTTGTTTCTGTTGTCCACTCATTTTGGCTGTCGTCAATTAAAAGAGACATGAATAGACATATATAAGGAATCAAAGGTCGCTGCTTTATCCGTCATCACACCTCACAACCCACTACAACAACTTCACTCTACTGCTCGATTCAATTTCCATCAATCGTTTAATTCCGATCCCACTCTAATTCAAAATGCTTTCCCAAGTCTTCACTGTTCTTGCCCTCGGCGCTGCTACCCTCGTTGCAGGAGCCCCTATGGAGGCCAGGACAGCCGATGAGCAAGTCACCGTCTCGAACACCCAGTTTGCGCGCAAGGATAGCAATGGCAACGACAACTGGGATACTATTCTCGGTGTTAGCTTCGACCTGGCCACGCCATCCGGTTCTGTCCGCTGCGCAGCATCCGACGTAGAGGTTCCATCTATCAAATACGTATGCTCCGATCTGGCATACTCTTTCGAAATCTCCGGTCGTCCTGGTTATGACCAATACACCTTCACCATCTACCACAACTCAGAGTACGTAAATTCCTTGTTCTAGCATTTATCTCGTACTGATTGCAAGCAGTGTCACCTTGTCCGGAGAAACCAAAGTGGGTTGCAACGGCCCTATCCCGAGCAGCTGCTTCCAGGTTCGCACCAGCCCAGCTACTCTAACTCCAATCACTGCTGCTTGATTTTGAAGCACAGGGGGATCTTTGCGAGGTTGGAGGATTCATATTTAATAGCAGGTTCTCTTTCGTTATAACGGAGATGTTCCCAAATGACCAGCCTTGAAGATATTAGGACTGCATTAGTTTTTAGTAGTACCCTGCTTTACAAGTTTAGAATAATCTAAATCTCGCGATTAAATAAAGTGCTGCAGACTCTTTATTCTATATACCTACTTGTAAGGAGACGCTAAGTAAGTAGAGAGACATAGTAGTAGAAGAATATATTATAGCATAAAATAAGATAAATTCTTAGAGAATTCTTTAACTGCCAAGACGCAGCTCTATTCCACTGTGCCATGTAACCAAAAAGGTGAGAGTGATCAACGATTGTTGATCATCATGAATAGAACAGTATATATAGTACAGGCTGTGCCGCATGAGGCTTCACCTCGCGTGCGCCCACGTAGCCTTACATTTCCTAAGAGGGGGATTAGCGAAGCTAAAATAAAATATTGAGACAACTAGGGACAGTCGCATAAAGAAACTTCATTAACAGAAAGTCTAGTAGGTGACCTAGATGTAGGCCCAATTCTAGGCGTCCCAGACTTAGGGCAAACTCTGCAACGCCAAGGAGCGCTCTCATTGCACCGCTACGTCCTCAGGACAGCTTATCCAATAACCAGTTTATTACAGCCGAAGCTCAGGTTCGAAAGCGGAAGTGGCTTTTGATTGGGTCACTTTTGAGGTAAGAGTAAGACGCTGACAGTCGTTCGGTAGTCCGGGGTGTGCTTACGCATGCACAGCCACCTACTATGATTCTGCCTGTTCATGGTTTGGGGGCGGGCACGACTATAACCTACGCGGTCTTATGGTAGGTGAGATTGAAACTTTCTTTCGTTTTCTCACCCTTCGTTGTTCTCACTCTGGCTACGATGAACGACATAAGCTATGGGCGCCAACAACTCTTCGCCAGCGACTTATAGCGCATCAGCGTATGCTATACAAGCCATCTGCATAGTTTTGACGACAGGCGTTGTGGTCGCGAGAACAGCATCGCGAAGATTAATGAAAGCAAAGACCGAGACGGACGACTACATCTGCTACATAGCTTTTGTAAGGTGCCTTGCAACCTCCAGGCTTGTTAACTAATGGCTTAGGTCTGCAATCTTGCGTTTCTCATTACCGGCTTTCTCTTTATCGCTGTAAGGATGCCAGATTTGCAACATCTCACGACCTTGAGTGAGAAGGATCGCCATTTGCTTCACATGACAATTCTTGCAATGACCATTCTCTATGTTCTCGCTATCACTTTCATAAAGCTTTCGATTCTCTTCTTCTATCGACGCACTTTTACCATGTATGATCAGTGGCTCCGATGGTGCTGGTGGTTGCTTCTAGTCTTTGTTCTGCTGTGGACTCTTATCTGTTTCGTACTGTTGGCTCTTCAAGAAAGCGGAATAACGTCTATTGGAGCATTTGAACGATTGGCAGTATCCACAACAGGCATTGTCAGGTGAGTGTGGCTACGAATGTTACTTCTAATACCGGTTTGCTAACACATGAACAGTAAGTGGAAACTCTATCTAGTACAGTGAACAAAAGCACTGCCTTCACTACACTGCCTCTGAGATCCTTTTGGGCATGACGCCTGCTAACTATGGGTTCTTCTTGACCAGATGGGACATCGGATCTGCTACTTGTAGCGCTGCCGGCAGCGAGAATTACAAGCATGAAGTTGCAGAAGAAGCAAAAGATCGCTCTTCTCTCGATCTTTTGTATTGGCCTATTGTAAACCACCTATATCGTGATAAGAGTTCTAGGCTAACTTCCCACAGCGCCGCCAGTGTATCTCTCGCACGAGGGTCAATATTCCTCGCTAATGACAACCACTCCTTCAAGCTTGTGTATACAAACTTTCTCGATATAGTCCTTACTTCCATCGAATCCTCTGCGGGTTTGATGTGCGCCTGTCTGCCCCTCACCAAGCCTGTCATCCTCCGTTTCGCACGCTGGCTGCAGGGATTGCACGCCCTCGAAACGAAAGACCGGGATTTAGACACGCTTTCTCAGTCATCAAGGAGCTCTATCTGGGGGAAAGGTGCAATCCTAAGCACGAAGGATTGCCATGTGCAGGCGCTTCGATTATCACAAGTCGCGCACCCACAGACTGAAAACCTAGTATAGGGTGGTTCAGTGACGAATCTGGAGAAGCCCTGGCAGAGTTTTCACCCGTGTGAGGCGACGGCACAATCTAAGAGCATACTAACATGCGATTTGGACAATAGAGAAGGTATTGCGGATCCGCAGGTCACATGAAAGAGGGTAATTGTAGGTCTTGCTGATCTCGATGCGCCGTACTGTGGAAGCGCATACGGGCATAAGATCAACCTAATCTCGATTACATCCTTCAGCCTAGAAACCCACCGTTCGAGATGCGATGTACTCGTGAGGATATGTCGTGGGTGCGAGACCCGCTCCTTCCTCCCTCGTTGTGGTTGCCACGCGACAGCCCTCAACAACGAAGTCGTCATCACAACAACACCGAAACTTCCTTCTTCTGTCACATCTGCGTCTGACTCAACCGAAACACGCACACACCCAGTCACACAAGCAGAGTTGCATTGCAACCATGGACGACGACATGCCTCCTCTGATGTGTAAGCTGGAGTCACCACCTATCAAGGTCGAATACGATTGCGAATCACTGCATGAGGCCCCGCCTGCTTCCATCCCAATCAAGCTGGAGGAGGGCGAGATCTATGAAGGCGACTCCAATGTAAGACCACGACTAGTCGCCTATTCTTCGTCTCCTCCACTGATCGAAGACTGTCCCGCCTTGCATGGTTTCGATGAGGACGCCACGCAGCTGAGTGATGAATCAAAACTACACGGTGAGTACCACAACTAAATTACCAAAGCATCCACTCATACCCGACAGAACAACTCGAGCTGTCAACGTATGAGTACGACGCACTTGACGAGCGTTATCGCGGGCTCTTGAATCAACACCGCAAGCTTAAGCAGCTGGCCACGGCCTACAGAGACATCATTCATGGCTCGGCAAGTCACGAAGAGCCGGATATAGGCCTCGACCAGCTTCACGCTGAGGCTGGCTATGAGGGTCTCCGAGCGAAGGCTCTTGAGGTCGATGTTCTCAGACCTGTCATACAAGACGCAGGTGGACCAGAAGTTGCATCCTTCCTGGTGCAATCTGTTCAAGCCCTCATCGAACAAGTGGGAAGTCTCGAGGACATTTGGCAACTTGTAGAGAGTACCGCTACAATCCGCCGCCGCCTGCATGAGTTGGGCGGCTTACAAGGCCTCGACCAGCTTGTCACTGACAGCAAAAATTTGCTCTCGGAACAGCAAGCGCTTGCTAAGCTAGAGCGCATCATCGATGGCCCCAATGGACTGAGGGCTAAGGCTGCAAAGTACGACAGACTGCAACAGGCCTTCACTTCGGTCGAGGCAGGCCGTGATGGAAAATTTCCTCCCACAAACGTCTCAGGTGCAATCTCAACTTGGAAGAAGAAAACGCGCTGTGCGTCCAAGAAGAACTCAGCAGCTGATTCAGCCCCAACCAAAGCTTTGCCCTTGAATATAATCCAGAAGCAATACTCGACACTTCCCAGCTTGACAGGCAGTACTATCCTATCAAATGAGTTGGGTGTTATTAACGCCGCGCGAGCTCGGCTGCTTACATCAGAGCCTGATCACGGTGACCCTGATCGTGACTTATACGAACCCAAAGAGAAGCCTCCGGTCCGCAGTCTATCCACCAAAGCTGACAACGCAAACAACATGCCGTTGGGTCGTTCTCGTACCGACAGATCATCCGAAGACTACGATCCGGATGCATCAAGGAAGCGGAAGCATGAATTGAATGCCCAAGTCATCTATACGAAGCGTCCACGAGTTGACATTGGACGTGCTTCGGCCCTGGTAGAGTCTACGCTGGCTGCTAGCAGTGCTGATCCTACCAATGCTTTTCGCCCGTACACACCGCCGGATCTTGGCCGCTCACCAGTCAGCTACAGTAACAAGCGTAATGAAGCGATGAGTTCAACGGAAGACAATGATCCAGAGCATAGGCAGCGCGTGAGGTTCATTCGAGACCAAGTATCCGAGCTCATCGAGAGCCGGGGCGAGAGCAAGGAGGCAGTCGACACTACACCGGCCAGGGTCGATCGATCTAGTGTCGACAGTCTGCTTGGGTCGACTGATTACGTTCGGCGGCCAACGGTGAAGATCGAGGCTCCGAGCGACAGTCTATGGGCCACTCGCTCAAATATAGCTCCAGCCACTGGACCTAGCAGGGAGCTCAAAACGCAAGTATTCATCGAAAACTGCCCAATCGCACTCTGGGTTGGTGCCAGTCATCCAGGCAGCTACAACTCTGCAGACTTGCTCAAGGATGATAAAATCCCATATGCGCTGGCAATGTTCTTATTCACGGAGATGAAGAAGTATCTCAACGACACCAACGCAAAGATTTGGGCCACCATGAAACCAAACAACAACACTTGCATCCTGCGGTACCTAATCGATGGACACAGGCCTTCAGGACTTTCACAAGAGAGCAGGGCCTGCAGAATGTGCTCGTCCGCGTGGGTTAGGCATCATCGGCCCTGCGCTCTGCTCCAGGATCTCCATGGTATTCGCACGGTCGTCTTCATGCCTCTACGTGACGCCCTCAGACGGGGCGTCGCGTGGACCGACAAACGATTCTGGATCATGGATATTTGAGAAACGCCTCAGGCAAATGTGGTCATGCCAACATGCCTAACGCGAATTACCACAGGTCTCATGCACTAGATTTCTTTTCCGGTCCTCAATGCCAGTCACCGGCATGTTGAGTTGATCTCTCTGCATGTTCGGTGACTGTTATCGAAGATTGAAGCTATTCCACACATGCCACATTATGGTGGCACAGTGGCTCATGTAGTCTCCTCAACATAGCTAGCTGAGATAGCTTAATTTGGAATGATTTCAAGTCCTCCATGTGGCTCGGAATATCCCCTCCGTCGTGCCTTGCTATATTGCATGTATTATAGCATGCCGCACGCTTTTCGACTCGTACGATCGGTCCCCACTCCGCTGAGCACTGTCACGTTTCCCATGATAGCAGTCTCAAACGGTTCGTTCCAGCCAGATTCGGCTTTATGAATACTCCTTGAAGTCTGAGCGGTAGCACTGCCCCGCTCAGCTTATCATTCCAGCCTCTTCCATCCTATCCAACTGCTGCGTCTCCGGCCCCATGTCCCCACCCATGACCGGTCTCTTCAGTGCAGTCCCCTCTTTCAGATACAGTATCAACCGGAACGCCGCATTGCCATTTAGATAATACCGATGCAGCCTTTTGCTCCTCAAGAAGCCCAGCCGCTCATACAGCTTCAAGCTCGCGGTGTTGGTGACTTCTGTTTCTAGCACGACTTCGTCTGCGTCCCGCGCGGTCATAGCTTCGATAGCCATCTGGACAAGTTTAGAGGCGATTCCCTGCCCGCGGTGGGCTTCTTGGACAGCGAGCATAGCGATGTAGCCACGAAAAGTGCCGCTGCGGTGGGGTTCGAGTTTGCATATTATCACGCCGATAAGGGATGATGAGGTTGGGTCGAGAGCCTAGAGAGAGGAAAGACGTTAGAGCGTGTTCGAGAATTGATAGGAAGAGTGTCTACCATGTAGCATAGGTCACCCCATTGGTACAAGAAGTAGCGGTACACATAGATACTGTAGGGTTCGGAAAGGTCTTTGGAGATCAGTTGGCGAATGGAGGGGAGGTGTTGCTCTTCCTTCGAAGGCTCGTATTGGACATATTGAAGCTCGGACGGTGATACAGACTTCTCCGCGCCTGGCTCAGCCATGTTGTCGAAAACAACAAGCTTCGTGCACACAAAGAGTCACGCAGTTCCGACCCTCGGAATGTGGACGACGGGAAGCTGCGGAGACACCCCCGGCTTGGCAAAAACGTGCTCGCAGCCAGATCCTAACGTGCCTGTGCGCGACGCGATCGGAGTCGCGTAATAATTACTGAACACTATATAGATTATCTTAAAAATAAGGCTATAATAACGCGTACGATAGCTATTATTATAAGATTTCTTAGTAGTTTAGTAAATAAGACCTTATAATTATTTTATACTATTTAAATTTACTTAGAAGCTTAACGTTGCAGCTACGTAATATTACCTAGAGTAGTAGAGAAGATAGAGTAGGTAGAACTTAAATACTACCTGCAGTATCTCTAACGCGTTTCTAACGCTTCTTCTTAGAGAAGACTGCTTATAAGGCTTTGCGCTTATCTCTTTAGAATAATTATATAGCTTTCTTAGCGTTACGCTACTATTTTTAACGCTTATATTTAGCCTATTTCTTAGCTTTCTTCTTCTCTCTTACTACTTTAGCTTTCTTCTACGCTACGTATCTCTTCTTAGCTTCTTATTTTTTAAGAAGCTTAGCAGACTTATAGAGCTTCTTAAGCTTTAATTTCTAGAGTTTCTTCTCTATCTTATTCTTCTTATAGCAGTGCTCTTATATGCAAGCATCTTTAACCTTTTAAGAAGACTATAATACTACTTCTCTATAGTACTCTTAGCTCTTCTATAGAGTAAGAGCATAGCTCTTTTTATGCTTCTTTTTAGTAATAAAAGCGTTCTATAGACTCTTATTTTTATAGTATAGTAGCTTATTTTTAATATAGAGATAATAAAAATTAAGATAAAGCTTTTAAGCTGCTTCTCCTATATTATTCTTTACTATAAAATGCAGTAAATGCTTAGATTCTTGCTAGCTATTTATATAATTATCTCTCTTATCTTCTTCTCTTTATAGTATTTACTTCTTAAATCTCTAGAGAATAACGTTAGCGTTAGCTAGTAAGATGCCTATTGCTTTAAAAGACTTAAGAATAGTCTTCTTCTTAAAGCTATTTATCTAGGCACGCTAGAATAGAAAGAAGAAGTTATCTTTTCTTATTAGTACTAGCTCTTAGCTACGTTAAATGTAGTAAGTAAGCTTCTATAAATAGGCGTTAGAAAGTAGCTAAAATATAACTATATTAAGTAGCTGCAATATATAAGTTAAATAAGAGAGAAATATAAGTAATAAGATATAATTATAGCTATAATACTTAATAAAATCTATAGTTATATAGCTCCTATAGCTATCTAAAATAAGTAGTCTCTATAAGCGTCCTGCTTTCTTCTTAGTATACTAATTAAACACTTATTTAAGCTAGGCTATACTAACGTTATTATTGCTCTAACCTAATAGAGTTATAGTAATAAATATCTTATGCTTACTAGAGTTAATATTCTTTACTTAAGATAATTATATTACTCTAGAAGCAGTACTAAAAATAAGGCCTAAGAGCAATGCTAAGCTGTCTGCATAGACTATTGCTATAATAGTTATCTACTTATATAATCTATTCTAAGTAGCATAAATAATCTCTTTCTTCTTATATATGCGTCTACTAAATACTTATTTTGCTCTATTAATTACTCTAATTATAAACCTCTTTTTATCTATATTATATATATAACGCGTTTCTACGTTATATTAGGTAATCTTTAAGTATAGCAGCTTAAAGTAATAAGTATACTTTACTTTAGAATTAGCTATATAACGTATGCAGTCTATAGGTTAAGTCTATTAAGAGATAAGATAGATCTTATAGCAGTAGATAAAGCGCATAACTTAGCTCTTGCTAACTCTCTTCTTAGCTATATATAAGGCAAAATTTTATATTATCTCTCTTATAAGTAGAAGCTCTTTCTTTATTAAGTTTTTAATATATTATATAAGCTCTAACTCTTATTATAGGGTAAGCTTTTATTAGCTAGAGTTTTTAACCTCTTAAGGTAGCTAAAGACTTTTATATTAGTAAGATAAAGTAACTCTATAAATATTATACTAGCGCGCAACTTTGCTATATATAAAATTTTCTCTTAGTTTACGCAAATTAATTACTTTAATTATAGCTTAGATTAGATTTATAGTTATAAAGTTATAGCGTGTTAAAGTATAGTATTATTCTTGCGTTTTAGTGTTTAGTAATCGTTACGCGACTCTGATCGCGTCGCGCACGGGCACGTTAGTGCCGATCGCTGTCATTCCGTCACATGTCTGTGAAGTTCCGCAGGTCGCGGTTTTTGGCTTGTGATTGCGCATCGAAGGACCTTTCACCACCGCGACAGTATTCTTATTTTCTAGAAGCAGTAAACGTCAGCTGTACATGTCGTTTCTACGCCGTCGCTTCGGCGGCGCAAATCTTACCCCCGACTCGCCCATAGAATCCCGCGAACCCTCGCCATCACCCGGCCAGCCCCGTCCGTCGCATTTGCGGGTGATCACGGCTGAGCAGCTACACACACTCAAGAAGAAGGGTAAGAGCAAGCGGAAGAATGCGTGGATCTTCGGGCTTGGTGGGCTGTTTGGGCTGGTGGTCGCAGGCTTCTTCGCGAGCAACAATGAGATGATTGACTTGAAGAGCTTGGAGGGCATGAATCTGGATAGTATCCTCGACGCATTGCCTGCGAGCTTCGTGAGCAATGCTCAGCAGTTACAGGTAAGCCTGGACAGCATTCAGAAGCGCCGTACCGCCATGAGACGAGTGCTGATCTCCTGCACTCAGTAGAAACAAGAACGCGATGCAGTGAACTACGACTCCTTCGCCGTGGGCCTACACGCGAGCAGTCAAGGCATCAAGGCACACCACCCTGTCATCATGATCCCTGGTGTCATCTCGACAGGACTCGAATCGTGGGGTACAGAAGAGGGCTCGAGGCAATACTTCCGCAAGCGATTATGGGGCTCGTGGAGCATGATGCGCGCCTTGGTGCTGGATAAAGCAAGCTGGAAACGACACATTATGCTGGACAAAAACACGGGACTTGATCCGCCTGGAATAAAGCTACGCGCAGCCCAAGGCTTTGACGCGGCAGACTTCTTCATCACGGGATACTGGATCTGGAACAAGATCCTCGAGAACCTCGCTACTATCGGGTACGACCCTGGAAATGCTTTTACTGCAGCTTACGACTGGCGCATGTCTTATATGAACTATGAGATCCGCGATCAATACTTTACCCGCCTAAAGTCGCATATCGAAGTCGCCGTGCGCGTCTCCAACAAGAAAGTCGTGTTGCTATCGCATTCTATGGGCTCGCAGGTTCTATACTACTTCCTCCATTGGGTCGAAGCCGAAGGCTATGGCAACGGGGGACCAGGCTGGGTCGATGCCTACATTGACTCCTGGATCAACATCAGCGGCTGCATGCTAGGCACCCCCAAAGACCTCCCCGCCGTGCTTTCCGGCGAAATGAAAGACACGGCCCAACTCAACGCCTTCGCAGTCTACGGCCTTGAGAAATTCCTCTCGCGCTACGAACGCGCCGAGATCTTCCGCGCCATGCCAGGCCTCAGCTCCATGCTGCCCATGGGCGGCAACGCCGTCTGGGGCAACGCAACATGGGCGCCCGACGACCTGCCCGGGCAAAACGTCAGCTACGGAAACTTTGTGCGCTTCCGCGACCACAATTCCACGCTCACGGCCAAGAACCTCACCATGGAAGACAGTATCCCTTACCTCTTCAAAAACAGCGAACAGTGGTACAAGGATATGGTCCTCTCGTCCTTCTCCCACGGCGTCGCGCACACCAAGAAACAAGTCGAAGACAACCAACTCATCCCCGCGAAATGGCTCAACCCCCTCGAAACGCGTCTCCCTCTCGCCCCCAAGTTTAAAATCTACTGCTTCTACGGCATTGGCAAGGAGACGGAGCGCGCGTACTACTATCGCAATGACGACGAGCCATTCTCCGGGCTCAACGTCACGCTAGACACGGGGTTTATCAGCGGGGCGGAGACGCCGGAGGGGCCTGTGGATCATGGCGTTGTTATGGGCGAGGGGGACGGCACGGTCAATTTGCTGAGTAGCGGGTACATGTGCGCCAAAGGGTGGAAGCAGAAAAGGTACAATCCCGCAGGCGTCAAGATTACGACGTTTGAGATGAAGCATGAGCCGGATCGGTTTAATCCTAGGGGTGGGCCTAATACTGGTGAGTCCGAGATGATACCAATCTTCCCTGAGAGAAAGAGAGGGGGAGAGTGTGTGTATGGATGCTAATGCTGTGCACAGCGGATCATGTGGATATCCTGGGCCGGTCGAGTCTGAATGATTTGATTCTGCAGGTTGCGGGCGGACGGGGCGAACTAATTGAGGAGACGATTCATTCGAACATTAGGGAGTATGCGGAGAAGGTGAAGATTTACTATGATGACGATGACTAGGGACGGGCGATGATTGTGACGTCCACGGTGGGTATGTTGATATTCCTATGCTTGGGCTGTCGTATCTCCTTCGGAACGGGGTTCTGGATTGGGATGATACCATAGAGTGATTCCAATGAGTATTTCACCATTTCATATTCATGTCTAGCAACGATCCTTGGTATATGCATATCGACATGTCGAGACATGGCGTTTATTTCTTCTCCTCCAACGTCAGGTTCTCAATGACCTTCTCCCCGCTCTCTGTGCCCACGTCCACACTCGCCTTATCCTGGCCCTCAACATGCCCGTCTGGCTTCGCCTCGACCTTCTTCGCACTGGGATGAAACGCGCCCTTGTCCTTTTTCTTTTTCTCCTTCTTCTTCTCTGCCGGCGGCGGCGGGTAAGCCTTCTGCTCAATCTCCTGCCACTCGGGCGTCGCCTGGAACTCCTTCTGGACGGGTTCGAGCAGCTCGTTGAGCGCCTTGGTAACCGCAGGCTTGAGGTCTTGGGGCGCTAATATGTCCTTGGCGTAGTCTTCCTTCATTTGTGCGATGCTGCTGTATTCGAGGGGCTCGGCGTCGCGGCGCTCGACGACGAATTTGGGCTCGCCGTGCTTGAGGCGGCCGGCGGGGAGGAGGACGTATTCGACGAAGGAGAGGATGCCGTTGTCCTCTACGACCTTGGGGACGGCGTGTGCCTTTTTGAGTTTCCGCTTTACTGCGTCAGCGTTGTCGAGGACGTCGATTTTCGAGTCCGGGTCTGAAGCGCTCATCTTGCCGCCCTGGAGACCAGGGACCATGGGGTTCATCAGATGGGCGCGTTCCTTGTAGCCGAGCTTGGGGAGCGCTTCCTTTGCGAGGGCGAAGATCTTGCGCTGGTCGACGCCGCCGAATTGGACGTCTACGTCGAGGTACTGCTCGTCCAGAGCTTGCATGAGCGGGTAGAGGAGACCACTCAGTGGCGCGTTCTCTGTCTGCTTGACGACTTCCGCACCCGCCTTCTTCGCGTCTCGTTCGCTCGTTGTTGATGCTAGTCGCAGCATGTCCATCATGTAGTCTGGCGATAATTCAAAGCTCGATCCCAGCACGAACTCGAGCTTCTCGATCGGGACATTCACGGCCTTGAGCAGTGCGCGGATGGTGTAGCGGTAGTATTCCGCGCGGTACTTGACGAGCTCGATGGGGGCTTTCAGGTTGTCGAGGAAGCCATGGATATCAGCGAGGAGGACCTTGACGTGGCAGCCGGCAGAGAGGAATTGTGCGATCTTGAGAATAGGAACGAACTAAAAGAAACAGTTAGCATACACCACTCCCGTACCCTTCCAGCAGACAACATACATATCCACAATGTGGCCGACCCGTCGTCGCAGTGCCCCAGTAAACCTTCAAATGGCCATTCTTCTTCAGCGCCTCCTCCATGATCTCGGGATTCAGCACTTCCTGCAAGTTGACCTTGATGAGCGCCATCTTGTCGTCGTAAGACAGTTCCGAGCCCGCAAAGTCCTTTGCCTGCGCCTTTTCCAGTCTTGACTTTGCATCCTTCAGCTGTGTTTGCACGTCCGCGAGCTTCTCCTCCAGCTGCGCGATCTCGTCTTGGATCGCGACCGTGTCCGCCATGGTGGGGTAGCGGGGTATGCGACTGCGAACAATTGAGGGTGGAGAAAAAAGGGAAAAGAGAAGGATTAGGAAAAAGGCGCAGTCGTTGCCAGTAGAAAGCTATGACTCCTCCTTCTGTGCTGAGCTCGGCTGGGACACACTTGCGTGTTGGAATGTTTTGGCGCTGGATGAGTCCAACGTGGGGCCAGTTGCGGCTGGACCCTTGCAGTACCTTTTTTAGCGTCACCGCAGCCTTCAGATGGTAGGACGCGTCTTGATCATCAAAATAGCTTTTCACCACTATGCGCAGTGAACTTTACAGTGTAAGGAACATCATACTGCAGCGTAGATAATGAGCTTGGGGTCACTCGCTAGACAGCTGTGCACTCTCTTCATCACATAGAGATGGTCTCGTGAGCTTTGATAGTGCTGTATGCTGATTCATTACTCTACTTCAGAAAAAATAGTATGGATTAATGAACGTGCATGTATGAGTAGAAGTTGATATAAGCGACTACTGTTCCCCCAAAATGCAGAACGTCTAATGCAAATGCAAAACCAAATAAAACTACTCCAAATCCAAAATGCTACCACCAAGAAGATTACCAAAGGCCATCGCTATGCTAAGAATAGAATCAAAATGTCGTGTCCACATATCCTCCACACCTTTCAACCCCTACTTCCCAGCTGGCTTCTTGTTGCACTTGGCCAAGCAACCATCAATATCTTGCGCCAAGTTGGCTGGAATCATCTTGCGAAACTCCTCAATATTCTTGCCATTGATCTCCTTGGGGAATCCAAGCGTAGCATTGACTACATCCTTGTTAAGCGCAAAGAAGCCCTGCGCAATCTGGTTGGTGCCAGGGTCCTCGGAGTTTAGGCCAGCTACAAAGACGGCCGATTCGCAGCCGTCGTTGAATTGGAAGTGGATTGAGCCTTGGGGGAATACGGTGCCCTCGAATTGTTGAAGTGTACCGGCAATTTCGGGGTTCTGACCGGCGGCGACGAGGCCGTTTTCTAGGACGTAGCCGAATCGGAGCTTGGTGTCTGTGACGAGCGTGAGGAATTCGGTTGCGCGAGGATGCACGTGCGGGGTGTTGATGCCGCAGGGCTCCATGAAGCCGAGAGTGTTGGAGATTCCGAGCCCATTGAGGATGGGGAAGGAGTCGATGTTCTATGTAGCTTGTTAATGACTGGTTACTTCCGAGTTGTGCGAAGGCAACTTACAGCAGCAACGGCAACACCGCCTTTGGCAGTTGTGGAGTTGGCCTTGGGCTTGAACGGGAAGACGATTTCCTTCTTCAGTGCGTCGCCAGTGAGCAGAGTCTGGCCTGCGCCGCCCTCAGTGAGCAGCTTCTTGAAGCGTGCAGTTGCAGAGACGGCTGTTGAGTATGTGGGCATGGAAGGGAGGGCCTGGACGGCCACGGCCACGACACCAGCAACGATGAATTGAGTGATGGCAACCATGATTACTGAGTGGGGAAGTAGAAGATTGCTGGAAATATGTCGAACGAAATAAGGAGATAGAGAAACTGGAATTGGTAGTTTGGTTTTGTGGTTGGTAGGCAAGGGGATGATTCTTCCAAAAACGAACCTCACTGCTGTCTTTATACATCTTTCGTCTTGTGGCTGTATCTCATCTTACGGGCGAAGTGTTGATATTCACGATCCGGAGATGGCGCCATCCGAAGAAGCGTGATGCCTCCGGGCTGTACAAGTGTACAGTCAGCGACTAACAATAAGCTTAATCTGGGAGACATCTGGACCTTTCACCAGATCTCACGTAGCTAGGCAAGCCGATTGGCCGTTTGGACACACTTGAAACAATGTTTGGTAGACGTCAGCCTTGTGGAGTCAAGCGCTTATGGGTAGCGTGCGGCACAGAAACACAATGAGGCGGTGCATCGAGCCTTTGCTGTGAAGCGGGTAAGACGTGACCTTGGCAGGGTGCTTTGTAAAGAGAAAGGTATTCCTGTACATCAGCAAGTCCATTTTGAAGTTCGTGATCATTGCTCTGTGTTGGTTGTCTTAGTATGGAGTTAGGCCTCCTATTGAGATTTAAGGACAAAATTGTGTCTTGGAACCTGCAGGGCGTGGTGTAGACATCTGGGCGGAGTATGGGCCGCGAGGCAGAGCCCAGCGGTTCAGGTTCTTCCCCATGTAATCGTTGTACCAATGCCACGATAACATGAGTTCGAGCGGCTCCTCGGGTCCTGGACAAGGCAGACCGTATTCATCGTGACCTTGCTGAAACACTCATTTTATCGAGTATTCCAGCGTTCGTAAGGAACAGTATCGCAGTTGCCAGGGTCGAGTGTGAGCGTGTCTAAGTTGCGCATTCGTAGTTAGTCGCGTCCGAGACTGTGGTGTTGAGCGAGGACCACAAATTCGTCAGCGTCCCATAAATAGAGTCAAACGGATTTTAGGCGCAAACTTCTCCTCAGGTACCAACAACTCACCGACTAGATTGGAATAGACGAGCGCCAGCGTGCTCATTCATAGAAATGATGAGCAATGGTACGAGTAAAGATAGATGGAATTGCACACAAGGGGTAATCGATCTAGCTAACCAACACACAAACGCCACATATCGCTCGCTGATGCTAATGACGAGGGAACAAATAGAAAAGAAATACATCAAAGACATTTTCAAGATCATCGTAACTCATTTAGAAATCGGACTCGAAGACAGAGAAATCCATAATCTCGCCGTGTTTCCAGAACGGCATCTCATCCAGTGTGAAAGCATCGTCGCTGGGGATCGACGGTGGCCCTCTGGTATGCGGAACCATCCCCTCAATGGGCTCATCGACCTCCAGAATGTTGTTGGTGTTTGAGTACCCAGGATCCTGGAAGATGAGCGACCCCCTCCTGTCGAAGGCCCCCCGGACCCGACGGCGCAGACGGCGCGCCTGAATGTTGTTGTCGTCGGCTGGGTCGTTGTCCGAGTAGCTGCTATCGCCCTCGACACTCTGACTATGGCTACGCTTGAAGACGCCGGCGCTCCATCGCTTTTTCTTTTGTCGATATCTTCGCTCTTGCTCTTCTTCATCCGAGGAGTCCTGGTCGAGATCCAGCTCTTTAAGTCTTTCGTACACTTCATTCTTTCCTTTAGAGCCAATCTCGCTTTTCGCATCTTCGAAGTGGTCCGGCCTGACGATCTCTATGTCGCTGTCGTAGCCAGGGTCGCTCTCTAGCTCTTCGAGGACAAAGTATGCTTTCTCCGTACGTCGCATCGGACGTATCTCCTCTACCTCACTGTCCTCATCAGAGGCGAACTCACTTTCCGAGTCTTGCGGTGTGGTTGGCTGGACCCGCCCTGATATGCTGGACGGCCGTGAGGAGAGGTTGAGCGACTGTGGTCGCGTGAACCTGAACTGGTGACCATGTCCAGTCGGTTCAATGTATTCCAGTGGTGGCGTCTGAGCCAAGTGCGACATGCCCATGCGCTTGGAGATAGGAGATGTGTGTCTCGTCGTGGGCGCAGAGCGGATCTGCGAACGAGCGCCAGCAGGTGTCATTGGCGGCGAATTGGGATGGCGATTGAAGAAGGCGGCCGGTGGCAGGTCGAGTGTCTCCATGGCGTCGGCGCTGTACAAGGTATTCATGCGCTGTTGTGGTTGCGTCAGGCTGGTTGGATGGCTCCGAGCCAATTGTGGAAGCGTGGGTAACAACGATTTGGTGAGGCGAACTTTTTGCTGATCTTAATCTTAAGGAAGTAATGTCCGTCGGACGTGTTTGGATCTTAAGGTATGGAAGAGGGAGTTCGTCGACTGTATCATTATGGAAGTGTGATTTGAGGGTGTTTGGCTGGGATAGTTGAGCGGCGAGCGCAGGCGGAGGTGGAGGGATTTACAAGTCAGACCCTGCAACGCCTTGGCTTATCGTGCAGGAAGAATGGGTAGGGTACAGGCAGCAGTGCAGAACGATATGGCTCGCAGGTCAGAAAGCCACAAGAGCGCAGGTCAATTCGGGTGCTGTGCGTGTGTGGCTGACGAATTGGGCTGTGGCAGAGGGAAAAGAGTTCTGGAGTAGCGAACCTGAGGTGGTCACGAATCCTAACGTTCCGGGATTTGTGCGGGCTGTCGCCAATTAATCTCGTTCGCCTCAGCAATGCGTTGTCCGGCCGTGCTGCGGATCAATATGCAGCTATGCTTTTCTTTCATGACTCCCATGCTGGCCACGATGTGGTCGCAGTCTATTAGTCGCAACGTGGACTCGGACAGTGACACCTTACATTGGGCTGAGCAAGGAGCCAATGGCAGCCGCATCCAAAATTACGATGCAGAGGGCGGGTAGATAGTGCTGGCACTACGATGGACAGCTGGCAAAGGAGAGCATGAGCGCTGCTCTTTGCGGGGCAGTGGTGCAGCACACCAGACCGGGGGTATCCACGCTCGCAAAGCTGAGGCACGAAGCGGCTCTGCGCGTCTGGTGAAGCAGACAAAACTCTCGAGCAGTAGCCGCTGTAGTAGAACTCTGTCTCAGAAGCGTGTTTTGCATGACCGCTTGACATCCTCAGTCGCTTTCTGGAGTTGCGATCTTTTTGCGCCGGGCTTCCGCCACGGTTTTGCGTGACAGGCGACCTGCAGTATCCCCTCGTATTCCGTGGAATGTGAGATCATGGCACCTTGTGACGCGGCATCGGAGATACGGCTCAGTCATGGTAAAGTTATTCGTCATGGACGTCTCTAGGACGGATAGTTGTGCTCCAGTCTCATGTGATTTTCAGTAAGGGTTCCGTGGTAGGTCACGTGGTGGTGGGGAGCTCGAGGCTAGCGTCCCGGGGCGGTTAGACGTTAATCCTGGCCGTTGCGTGTTCACATCGAACTTTGGCCAGAGCAGCTCGCGGCGGAGGCAGCAGTATCCAAGTAATAGCCAACACCGTGTTTCTTTCTCCTTCATTATACCCCTCTGGACAACCGATTGTCTTCTCTGGCATTGAGGCTGCATCGCGCGCAAAAGAAGCTGCGGCTTCACCCACAATTCCACCATGTCTTCTACTCCGTCTATGTTGACCAAGGTGCGCAGCTCTGACCAATGCGCCCTCACACTTTGCTCATATCACATAGTTTGAGTCCAAGTCTTCGCGTGCTAAGGGCATTGCCTTTCACCCTAAAAGGTGACCTCTCTGCTCGGATTACGCACCACCCCCACTGACCGCCTTCAGGCCATGGATCCTCGTCTCGCTACATTCCTCCACGATTCAATTATGGGACTACCGCATGGGCACGCTCATCGATCGCTTCGAAGAGCACGACGGCCCTGTTCGCGGCATCGACTTCCACAAGACACAACCACTGTGAGCATAGTGAGGAAGCTAGGGACAATCACATACTGAGACCATGCAGGTTCGTCTCGGGTGGTGATGACTACAAGATCAAGGTCTGGTCATACCAGACCCGGCGATGCTTGTTCACACTGAACGGCCATTTGGACTATGTCCGAACCGTGTTCTTCCACCATGAGTTGCCGTGGATAGTCAGCAGTTCTGACGACCAGACAATCCGTATCTGGAACTGGCAGAACCGATCGCTGATATGCACAATGACCGGCCACAACCACTACACCATGTGCGCCCAATTCCACCCCAAGGAGGATCTCATTGTTTCTGCCTCGCTCGATCAGTCAGTGCGTGTCTGGGATATTTCTGGGCTGAGAAAGAAGCACTCTGCGCCTACATCCATGTCATTTGAGGACCAGATGGCGCGCTCGAATCAGAACCAGGCCGACATGTTCGGTAACACAGATGCCGTCGTTAAGTTCGTTCTCGAGGGCCACGACAGGGGTGTGAACTGGGTTGCGTTCCACCCTACACTACCGCTCATCGTTTCCGCAGGTGACGATCGCCTGGTGAAGTTGTGGAGGATGTCAGAAACCAAGGCATGGGAAGTAGACACATGCCGAGGACATTTTCAGAACGCATCGGCGTGTCTGTTCCACCCACACCAGGACCTGATTCTATCTGTTGGCGAAGACAAGACGATTCGAGTGTGGGACCTTAACAGGCGCACATCGGTCCAGTCTTTCAAGAGGGAAAACGATCGTTTCTGGGTTATTGCAGCGCATCCGGAAATCAACCTGTTCGCTGCTGGCCACGATAACGGTGTGATGGTTTTCAAGCTGGAGCGCGAGCGTCCAGCATCCGCTGTTTATCAGAACAACTTGTTCTATATCACCAAGGAGAAGCACGTCCGGTCGTACGACTTCCAAAAGAACCTCGAGTCTCCATCAATGCTTTCATTGAAGAAGCTGGGAAGCGCATGGGTGCCTCCAAGGACGATATCCTACAACCCCGCTGAGCGTTCGATTCTTGTCACCTCACCAGCTGAGAGCGGCACATATGAGTTGATCAGCCTACCACGTGATGCTTCCGGTGCTGTTGAGCCAACCGACACGAAGCGCGGTTCTGGTAACTCTGCTGTCTTCGTTGCAAGGAACCGCTTTGCTGTTTTCACCCAGGCAAACCAGCAGATTGACATCAAGGACCTCAGCAACTCTACGACCAAGACGATCAAGCCCCCTCACGGCACAACAGACATTTACTTCGGCGGCACTGGAAACTTGCTTTTGATCACCCCCACCAATGTCGTTCTCTATGATATTCAGGCCAAGAAGAACCTTGCGGAGCTCGCAGTCAATGGTGTCAAGTACGTCGTTTGGTCAACAGATGGATTACACGTAGCTTTGTTGAGCAAGCACAACGTCACCATTGCCACAAAGAACCTCGAGCAGGTCAGCACTCTGCACGAGACTATTCGTATCAAGAGCGCAACATGGGACGACACTGGAGTTCTTCTCTATTCTACCCTGAACCACATCAAGTATAGCTTGATGAACGGTGACAACGGTATTGTTCGTACCCTGGAACACACCGTCTACCTGGTCAGGGTGAAGGGCCGCAACGTATACTGTCTTGACCGTGCAGCCAAGCCAAAGATTCTTCAAATCGACCCAACTGAGTACCGCTTCAAGCTTGCTCTCGTCAAGCGTAACTATGACGAAATGCTCAACATCATTAAGACTTCCAGTTTGGTCGGTCAGAGCATCATTTCATATCTGCAGAAGAAGGGTTACCCCGAGATCGCCCTTCAATTCGTCCAGGACCCACAGACTCGTTTTGAGCTTGCGATTGAGTGTGGAAACCTCGAGGTAGCGGTCGAGATGGCGAAACAACTGGACCGACCCAAGCTCTGGCAACGGTTGAGCACTGAGGCTCTTGCTCACGGCAATCACACAATAGTGGAGTCCACTTACCAGAAGCTCCGCAATTTTGACAAGCTTTCCTTCCTATACCTTGCGACCGGCGACCAAGATAAACTCAAGCGTATGGCCAAGATTGCCGAACACCGAGGCGACATGACTGCGCGATTCCAGAACGCTCTCTACCTTGGTGATGTACAGAACCGGATAGAGATGTTCCAGGAGATTGACTTGTACCCGTTAGCCTACGCTACCGCCAAAGCAAATGGCCTTGACGAGCAAGCTCAGTCAATACTTGAAGCTGCCGGCGTAACAGAAGATCAGATCAAGCTTCCAACAGTGGGAGGCACCTTGGCTCCTGCCAAACCTATTGTTCCAACATACAAGACCAACTGGCCGACACGTGCAGCATCATCGACAGTATTTGAAAAGGCGCTCATGGGCGAGGTAGATGGTGTTGGCTCTGAAGAGCCGGCAGCGAACGGCTACGGCGACGAAGATCTCTTGGGCGACGCAGAGGCACCGAGTGCGTCAGCCGAACTTGGTGGTGATGATGCGGAGGATGACATTGGCGGATGGGACATGGGTGACGATGGAGACGTTGAGGCAGAAGATGACTTTGTTGAGGTTGAGGGTGCTGAAGCTGGTGCCGGCAGCAGCGAAGCAGATCTCTGGGCACGCAACTCGCCATTAGCAGCAGATCACATCGCAGCGGGATCTTTCGAAACTGCCATGCAACTTCTCAACCGACAGGTCGGCGCCGTCAACTTTGCTCCGCTCGAAGAACGCTTCCAGGAAATTTACCAGGCCACGCGAACGTTCCTCCCAGCTACACCCAACATGCCGTCTCTAGTCAACTACGTGCGGCGGACGGTTGATGAGACAGACTCACGCAAGATCCTACCTATTATTCCTCGTGAACTGGAGTCTATCCTCTCTACTGATTTAACGGCGGGAAAGCAAGGACTTTTGAAGAACAAGTTGGAGGAAGGCGTTGTCTCTTTCAAGAAGCTTTTGCATCTTCTCATTGTCAACGTCGTTGCATCACAAGCAGAATTGACAGAGGTAAAATCCACCATGTTGCATGCTTTAGGCTGATTGCTAATATGATACAGGCAAGGAAAGCCATAAACACCTCAGCGCAATACATCATCGCCATGTCCATTGAACTCGAGCGCCGTGCTCTCCTCCAAGGCGCCACTGACATCTCTGCACTCTCTGACGACGACAAGAAGCGCGCCCTCGAACTCTCTGCCTACTTCACCATCCCCGAACTCGAGGGCCCACACCGCTCTATTCCTCTTTCGGCCGCCATGAACTTCGCACACAAGAACAAGCAGCTCAACACTGCGCTGAACTTTGCCAACGCCCTGCTCGACCGCACGGGCAACGCAAAAATGAAGGAGAGCGCCAAGCGCATCAAGACCATCGCTGAGCGCAACCCCGCGGATGCCATTGAAATTGACTTTGATCAGTTCGCCGACTTTGAGATTTGCGCGGCGAGCCACACACCCATTTATGGAGGCAGTCCGAGCGCGGCTTGTCCGTACGATGGCGCGAAATACCACGCCAAGTACAAGGGCACTGTGTGCAAGGTGTGTGAGGTTTGCCAGATTGGTGCGCCAGCTAGTGGACTGAGGTTGGTTGGATGAGCGGTTGGTGGTATGTGATGTGCTTTATGACTTAGCGTAGCATGCAATGGATGATTAGATGTGGAGGTGGAAAAAGGGCTAGCTGAGGGAAGGGGACATTAGGTGTGTTCGTTGAGAATTAGAAAATGCTATACGAGTATCATGTTCACTTTTGTGGGATTCTATTGAACGAATTGAGAGCTTCATGTGCGCGTTGCTCCAGGTTGAGGCACGCCCAATGATCTTCTGCAAGTGTATGATCAGTGAAGTATATGTCGTTCGCTTCGACATTGCCGCAGTTGCATGATGGAGACGAAGGATCAGACGAAAGGCAATGTGCAATAGTAGTCTGATTGTCATTGATTGACAACAATCATGAATAGAAAATATATATGGAAGCAAGAGGTATCCTAGCATAAACTCCAACCCATATCAAAACTCATGGCTTGCGCAGTGCATTCTGCGAAAAAGTATTGAAGTCCATGAACGCCTTGTCATTCCCATTCCCACTCAATCCTCACGCCTTAATGTCGTCATTGCCAAGAGGACTCTATCTCACGATACCATCACCCTTGGTAGGTGGTGGGCCCGGCGGCGGCGCATATCCACCACCATACGTCGGTTGTGGCGACTGGAGCTCGACGCCATTCTGCTGGCCATTGTTGTAGTAGCCCTGATTCGCGCCGCCACCGTAGTATCCGTTGTTGACGTCATTCGGAGGTGAGTATGGCGGCGCCGGGGCAGCGTAGTTGTTCTGGCCATTGGCGTAGTAGGGTTGTGCGGTGTTGGTACCGTTTCCTGGACGGGCGGCCCAGCCTGTGCCGTAGAAGGGTTGGCGACCAGCTTTGCGGCGGCGACGGGCTGTTAGGCAACTGATGGTTGTGTTAGTGAGAAATCTTGTGAATTATTGTGCAAGGGAGGGAGATGGCTTACCTGCACAAGACGAAGAGGAGGAGGAATCCGATGACTACGACGCCGAGGACGAGCCAGCGTACCCAGTTGTCCCAGGCACTTCTGTAGCAGCGGTAGCGCCCGCGGTTGTCTGTGTAGCATCTAGCCATTATGTATTAGATTGATGTTGGGTGTTGTGAGTGGTGGTGTTGTGAGGTGTGCAAATGTGCAAAGGGTTCAATGAAGTAGAAGTAACACTAGGGCTGGTGTATGTATGACGTTTGTCGCATGAACCTGCAGCTGGGCGCAGCTAGATAAAGGAAAAGCTCGATCCCAAATACAGGGCACCGCCACGCTTGGAGAAGACGTACCGGTCATAATCATCATAATCCCGTACTGCTAGATACATCTTGGCCGTTGCAAACAAGCACTGTCGACTTATGAACTAGGGCGTTAGGTTGGCGACGGCGGCGATGTGAGAGGTTAGAGGTGAGGACTGAGGTGGAGCGATCTGGGGTATGACGACGATGGGGCGTCTTAAAAGCATGATGCGCGGCATGTACAGCCACAGCCAAGCGAAGACGCCTGAGCCTAGCCGGGTACAACGGAGTCGTTGCGACTGGCCGTGACGACGCTTGCTTGCTTGTCATTCGCCGAATTTCTAGATTTGCGAAGGTTCGACCGAACTGCTGATGTTGCTGAGAGGGCGCAGTCGCGACAGTGCGTGTCCGATGGCTGTGGAATGTTCTCCCTTGCTTCAGTCAATCCTTGCGAACTCCGGTCTGATCGTAGCAAGACCTCATCTGACTTCAGGTGACCGAATTATACTTCATAAGCACGTTGACTGCTTGAGCAACCTTGAGTATTCAGTTCGATGGTGCATCAACTGCTTCAAGACATGACGTGGTAGAAACTCGTAACGCAGCCTTCGTACCGAGATGCGGCGGTGGTCTACCCTGTTCGGAGGATTCATGTTCGGGGAGTTGTTGGAGCGACAGAATCTTGAAATCTACCAAATTAGGAGTACTTTCATATCCCATTTCGTGCATCTTGCACGTGCCCATACTCTCACCCCGTCTCAATCGTAAAATGCTTCACCAGCCTCACCTCAGCCACATGTTCGTCACGCCTCTTCATCTTTCGGCTCACGTTCCCATTCCATCCAGAACAGGGGTACTCCATGCTGTGACCCAAACTTCTACAGCGAATCAGCTTCGGTACAGCTCTGATTCCCTGGATGGCGCTAATGCAGGATGAGTTGTTCAATTGTTGTCTGCGCTCTGGTTTGGGGTCCCCACTGCGCTGTCAAATAATATTAGAAAGTTTCTCGTCGCAAATTCAGTTTCGGTGTCCTTTTGCTTGCCCTTTCTCTTCGTTCTCTCGTGCTGTCGTCCTGCTGCTGTGCGTTGTGAGTTGTTTTTACGCCGTGGGAGGACGCGGACCACGGCTTGTGCGACTGCGTCTGGAGCATCGCGGCTTCCGCATGCGGAGAAAGAGTGGCCCAGGACTTTGCGACTGCGATTGCTCCTGCGAGCCCACTGCGACGGCTACCGGCACGACCTGAACCTTCAATGTTCTCGTGGCTTCATCACATGTTTGTTTTCGAGGCACGCATCACGAGATACGAAAGTCACGAGCACTGCAGCGCATCGTCGCGGCGAAAAAAGGATACCATTATACCGAGTACACAAAGTCGAATCGCTCTGTTGAGTCGCTATCACAACATCGCTCGAACAATGAAACACAAAGACGCTACAGGATGAAACAAATATACTGGGGACAACATCTGATGCCGTTACGCAATCCTACCGCGCATGCTGCTGGTCCTCTCATCGAGCCGATATGGATGATCGTATGAATATGGTAGAAACGAGGAACGTGCTTGAGCTGAGGAACCGAGAATGGCCATCGCTAGCCTGCAGAGCGATCTGCCGTCTTTTCTTCCGTCACGTCGTAAGAATCATTAAGTATGTCGTAGAATGCTGACTACCGTCATTTGTGAGAACGTAGGCACATCAGGGTCGTGAAAGTCGCGAAAAGCCACGCAACACCAGTACCGAGTCGAAAGCGTTGCAAGCGGCACGTGAACCCAACCCCTTCGGTCACGTTACCGCCTAATCGAACAACAACAATCTATTTGCTCGCGCGAGCAATGAGCCACTGGAGTACAGCGTCGAGGTTTGTCTCCTCTTTGGCGCTGATGCCATAGCAGCTCACTTCGCGGTGCGACACGGCCTTGAGGTTCAGCGCCTCAATAAGCTCATCAACCGAGAGCTTGTTAGGCAGGTCAGACTTGTTGCCTAGGACAAGCAAAGGAATGCCTTCCAGCGCTGGCTTCTCTAGGAGAAGATTGAGCTCTTCGCGCGCAACCGGTAGGGCCTCCTTATCGGCAGAGTCGACAATAAACCTAGGACGATAAGCGTAGTCATCGAGCACATGCCAGCAGGTCTTACACAATTGCGTTCACGCCGCGGCAGTACCGCTCCCACATGGAACGAAACCTAGGCTGGCCTCCGAGATCCCAACTGTTGCCGCTGGTCAGCAGGTACACTTGGATGCGTAGATTGCCTGCACCCCGCAAGGCTGGCCCGAAATGGCTTGGCGCTGCAAGAGTAGGACATGCGTGACCGGGGCCGATATCAAGTACTCACCACTTCAAAGTAACATGGCCTTTCTGGACGCGCTTCATGTTGAAGCCCACAGTAGGGATGGAGCTGTATCCTGGTCAGCGCATGGGCCACATGTGATGGAGCTCATGGTAGCGCGAAGCTGCAGAATCGGGACAGAGATGGAACACTGTTGCCGCCAGCTTGCGCAGCCAGGAGCTTGACGTTGACATACTCGACAGTAAACTCCCCTCCCTAGATGCTTGTGGTCAGCTCAAACTCGCGCAGGCGCAGTCATGTCCGCATCAGGAAGCGACTCACCGCCAGAACTCTCAACAGCGACGTCTTGCCAGCATTCTGCAGCCCGATCATGGTGATGTCCATCTCGGTCGCCCTGCGCAGTAGAGACAGTCAGCGGCTATCTCAGGTCATGGTCGCACACGTGTTTGCTTTTCCTGAGGGCCAACTTTGATGAGGTGGAAGTATCCAAAGGCGCATCAGGCATCCAGCCCGCGCACAAGGAAGATGAGATGAGAGAAGGCGGGCATACCAGAAAAGGCGCAGCAGCCAGTCATAGATGCGTCGGAAGAGGTTCGCCATGGTCGCTGGCCGGGTAGTGCTAATGACTCGGGGTGGTTGTCGTCGGCCTGCGCTGGACTGTCGATGGGTGGTGCTGAAGTCTGCGAACCTTGATCCTGGAAGCGGGGTCTGACTTCGGGTAGTAGCAGGGCGATCGCGGCGTGAAATCAGATAGCGACAATAGCAGTGAATTGACAACGCTCCAAATGCATGCAGAAGACAGCCCAGCAATGAGTGAGAGAGCGAGAAGCGGGAGCCGTGCCGCCCCAGGGAAAAGCTAGGAACTTGCGCGGTCGATGGGTGTGCTGCATCAAGCCGCCCGCGCAGGTGACGTCCAGTACCGGCCAATGGTGAGCGGCGCTACGCCGGCGGGCCCGCAGAAAATGTTCAAGAAGTTCGCGACAAATTTATGTGAATTGCACAAGACACCGCCGTGACCGCCCACGCACCCTCAGATGAGCGCGCATGTCCCGTGAGAGCTGCGCCCTAATCTCCTTCACCTCACACTTTGCAGTCAGAAGCTGCACGCCTCGCAGCAATGGCGGTCGCCAAGACGAAGAAGGCGCAACAGAAGCCATGGACGACTGCTTTTGACACCAAGAGGCGACACGACCTCTTTTCTAACCCGCCCAAGGACAGCACGGCTTACCCCACGCTTGCCGCAGCTGTAGACCCCCACATCAACTCCTTCAACAGCATATTCGCTGCAGGCGGACAGCTTGAAGAAGCACTCAAGGACATCGGTACCAAGGTCTTCCTTGATGGCAACCCGTATGCGCGGCCCGAAGAGGTCGGCCAGAGGAACAGGCTCTCTGTGCGCATACAGGACGTCTTCCTCGACAAGTCCGTCCTGCCGCCTTCGAACAAGGTTGCGCTTAAGAACCGCAACATCTTGCCTGCCGAATGCAGAGAGCGACATGCCACCTACCGCGGCAAGTTGCGCGCACGCCTTGAGTGGAAGGTCAACAATGGCGACTGGCGAGAGGAGGTGTGCGATCTTGGCGCCGTTCCCATCATGCTGAGAGTGAGATCTCCCCACTGTCTCGGGATGCGCGAGGCATGTGCTAACAGTCCTCGTGATAGTCAAACCGGTGTCACCTTGAGAATATGAGCCCGGACCAGCTCGTCAAGGCGAAGGAGGAGAGCGAAGAGCTTGGTGGCTATTTCATCGTGAACGGCATCGAAAAAATCATACGAATGCTGCAGGTGAACAGGCGCAACTTCCCCATGGCTATCAAGCGAGGCGCCTTTACAAACCGCGGCCCCGGCTACACGCAATACGGTATCCTTCTCCGCTCTATGCGCCCCGATCAGACGTCACAGACAAACGCTCTGCATTATCTGAGTGACGGCAACGTCAACCTGCGGTTCTCGTGGAGGAAGGCGGAATACCTTGTGCCCGTCATGATGGTCCTGAAATCTCTAGTGGAAACAAACGACCGGGAGATCTTCGAGGGTCTGGTTGGCGCAGCTGGCTCAGAAGGGCTTGCAGAAAAACAGTTTGTGACCGATAGAGTGGAATTGCTGCTCCGGACGTACAAGGTGTATGGGTTACACTCGAAAGCAAAGACGCGGGCATACCTAGGACAGAAGTTCAAGGTCGTACTACAGATCCCAGAGGACACCAGCGACGAAGAAGCCGGTACTGAATTTCTGCGAAGAATTGTCCTGCCGCATTTGGGCGCATACCACATTACACCCGCTCAGGATGCTGACAAATTCCGCATGCTCTTGTTCATGATTCGGAAACTATACTCCTTAGTGGAGGGCGAATGCTGCGTGGACAACCCTGATGCAGTGCAAAATCAAGAAATTCTGTTGGGTGGCCAGCTGTACGGCATGATCATGAAAGAGAGACTAGACGACTGGCTCCAATCGATGCGTCCAGTTCTGCAAGACTGGGGACGTCGCACAGAGTGGAGGCCGTTCACATCACAAGAGTTCCAGAAAGACTTCATCTCGAAAATCTTGCGAAGATCCCAGACAGACATCGGACGAGCCATGGAGTACTTTCTGTCTACCGGCAACCTGATCAGTCCCACGGGTCTTGATCTGCAGCAGACTGCTGGTTTCGTCGTCGTGGCAGAGAAGATCAATTTCTACCGTTTCATCAGTCATTTCAGGATGGTACACAGAGGCGCCTTCTTTGCGGAGCTCAAAACGACTACAGTCCGAAAACTGTTGCCGGAAAGCTGGGGCTTCATGTGCCCTGTTCACACCCCCGACGGAGCGCCATGTGGGTTGCTCAACCACTTTTCTCACAAATGCAAATTGGCGACACAGAACGTTGATGTTTCAGCGATCCCCAAGCTGGTCGCACAACTGGGCGTATCTAGCAAGTCATCCGCCTCAATCGAGGCGAGTGTGGTCGTACAGCTGGATGGTCGCGTCTTGGGCTTCTGCTCGCCAAAGCAAGCCAAAGTCATTGCGGACACGCTCCGATACTGGAAGGTCGAAGGCTCGCATAACGTGCCGCTGGAGATGGAAATCGGTTATGTTCCAAACTCAAACGGTGGCCAATATCCTGGTGTTTACATGATGTCGCAAGTCGCACGCATGTACCGGCCTGTCAAGTATCTCCCGCTCGATAAACTCGACTATGTGGGGCCCTTCGAGCAACCATACATGTCGATTGCGTGTACAGACGCCGAGATTGTGTCAGGCGACTCAACGCATGTCGAGTACGACCCCACCAACATCTTCTCGATCGTCGCGAACATGACACCATTCTCCGATTTCAACCAGTCTCCACGTAACATGTAGGGCAATCCTTCCGTCTAGTCATCTAGCATATGCTAACAAGCAGTCAGGTACCAATGTCTGTCCGCTGACCATGAAGTGCTCACCAGCACTGGCTGGAAAGCTCTTCCAGCGATCAAGGATGCGGATCAGGTAATGACACTGGATCTTCAAACAGGCACTCAGCAATGGAACTCTGTCCAGGCTACTACCCGCTTCGCTCGCGAGGGATCTCTCTACAGACTCAAGAGTGACGATATGGATGCTGTCTGTAACGAGAGTCATCGCTGGTATCTCAATACGAAGGACCAGCCTACTACCTATACAGCATTTACCACACAGCAGATGTTGGACAACCAACTAGTTGCACTCAGAAATTCTTCTGGTAAAGCAACAGATCAGTGGAATCATGAGTCCGGCACAACTACCCATACCAATCACAACATCCCTACTGTCGGACACAATGGAAATGTCATGTTCTCGTGGCCGGATTGTCCCTGGCTTCCCAGAGAATTTGTCGCGGACGAAGCGTGCAATCTGGACTGGTGTCGATTCATTGGGCTTGTAATGGGTGATGGTAGTATCGACCACGTTACCGATGCTCAAGGTCAAGAGCATTATTCCATCCAGATCCATCAGCGTGCCGGAAATCCTGCTTCTAATGCCAACACCGAGGACGTTCTGGAGCGCCTGGCTGCGAAGCTCCCTAACTTCGTGGTACACCCATCATGCGTGTCTGGCGCCGAGGAGAAGCACACCTGGACCATTAATCACCGCGATATGTACCATTTCTTCCTTCCTATGATGCGCGGACCGCAATCGTATGATCCTTTGGACAATGCAATGTGCCGTACCTATCAAGCACCTGATTATCAAGCATTGTCAAGGTCAGACAATGAGCCTATTATACCTGTCCCTGCAGACTGGAAGACCGGCAACTGGTGGCATCTTCGACGCTGGATTAATTACCCTTGGCTCTTTTCACTGGCCCAAAGTCAGGCTCGAGCCATGATCAAGGGTATGGCGGCTGCCAATGGCGACTGGAGCCTCTCATTGAAAGCGCGATTGGACACTGGCGACAGTGGTGTCGTGCGGGTATTCAGTAACTCGATCCCGCTGATGCACGACATGTCTGTGCTGGGCCTTTTGGCTGATACTAGAGTCAACATCGGTGTCGACCACAAAAAGGGGCAATGCAGTTACAAGTACCGGTAACAATGCCAGCGCTACTGGCGTGGTGCATATCCTTCTCCTTCGCTAATAGCGATCTCGCCGTGGCCGCTCCCAAGCCGGAGGCATACGACAATCCTCGCCATGATGGGTTTGTCTATTGTTTGACAGTGCCCAATGGCAATTTCTTAGCTCGACGAACTGTTGAATATAGCGATAACGACAAGATTCAGGAGGTTATCGATGCAGCGCAGAAGCCTTTCTTCACAGGAAACTGTCAGATGGGTAAGCAATCCATGGGTACACCTGGAACAGCCATGCGCTACCGAACCGACAACAAGACCTACCGATTGCAGACTGGCCAGACACCTGTTGTGCGACCACCCCTCCACAACGAATATGGCTTCGACAATTTCCCGAACGGGACCAATGCCGTTGTGGCGGTCATCTCATACACCGGATACGACATGGACGACGCCATGATATTGAATAAATCCGCACATGAGCGCGGTTTTGGTCACGGAACAATCTACAAAACGAAGATTTGCGATCTTGAGGAGGGCGCTCGGCGAAACCGGTCCGGCAGGACAATCAGCAAGCTTTTCGGCTTCGCGCCAGATAGTCTTGTCCCGGCTAGCAGGAAGGAGACACTTGATGAGGATGGCTTGCCCCGTATCGGCACATTGCTTCGCAATGGTGATGCTATTGCCGCTTGGCATACCGTCTCCTACGATGCTGCATCCGATGACTACGTCAACCGTGACGCCAACACAAACTACTTCAAATACAAAGAAGACGAACTCGCCTTTGTCGAAGAAGTCCGCATCATCGGCTCTGAAGATGGAACTCAGCCTTGCCAAAAGCTCTCGATCAAACTTCGTGTTCCCCGTTCGCCCGTCATCGGTGACAAGTTCTCTTCTCGCCATGGCCAAAAAGGTGTCTGCTCACAAAAGTGGCCGTCAATTGATATGCCCTTTTCTGAATCTGGTATTCAGCCCGACGTCATCATCAATCCTCACGCTTTCCCATCTCGAATGACGATTGGTATGTTTGTCGAGTCGCTCGCCGGAAAAGCCGGTGCGCTCCACGGTATCGCGCAGGACTCCACGCCATTTAGATTCGACGAGCAAAACACCGCTGTCGACTTCTTTGGCCACCAGCTTATGAAAGCAGGATACAACTACTATGGCAACGAGCCCATGTATTCTGGTATCACGGGCCAGGAACTCGCTGCCGATATCTATATTGGTGTTGTGTACTATCAACGTCTGAGGCACATGGTCAACGATAAATACCAAGTGCGTACTACTGGTCCTATCAACTCGACTACTGGACAGCCCATCAAAGGAAGGAAGAAGGGTGGAGGTATTCGTGTTGGTGAGATGGAAAGAGATGCGCTCATTGCTCACGGTACGGCTTTCCTACTCCAGGACCGTCTGATGAATTGCTCGGATTACACAAAAGCGCCTATCTGCCGCGAGTGCGGATCCTTCTTATCAACAGCCCCAACGGTCAGCGAGTATGGACGCAAGAAGGACCGAGGCGCTCAGCTCACGATTCGATGCCGCCGATGCGCAAAGCCTGCCGATGGAATCACAAATAAGGCGGATGTCTGGATGGACGGACAGGGTATGCGTTTCCAAGGTGGCGAGAACATTGGTGTTGTGGCTGTTCCCGGTGTTTTGAAGTATCTGGATGTTGAATTGGCGAGTATGGGCGTGAAGTTAAAGTTCAAGGTGGAGCCGTAAATCGGCAGCATCACACGGCGTTTGGGTTCATGTCTATATGGCGAACAAAAGTTTATGGAGTAGCTACGCATCAGGCATTGGACGGCGTAACGGGGGTTCTTAGAACAAATGATGAAGAATTTCAATCCATTGCCCGTGTTCCTTCCACTGACGAGATATGCACCGCTCACAAGACATGCACAACGTAATCGTACTAAAGCTTATTCAATTAAAAAAAGCCCAGTATCTTTCCCCAGTAACACTCTACAAGGAGAGACGAAAGAAGTTTCCCTCCTCGTGTCATGTGTCGATCCCGTTTCCAACTCAAGCGAGTCCCACCGCCTCGTGCAACATGCGGAGTGCATATCGCACCATCCCCAAACAAGCCTAGCACAACGTGACATACCATCCGTACCCTTTACGTGCTCCCCATAGCTCGCCCGCACCCCTCACTGTCCCTTCCCAAAGTAAAATGCCCCTCGAAATCGCATGCTTCACCCCATCCTCCGCCATCTCTGCCGCCCAAGCCGGAGCAGACCGCATCGAGCTGTGCGCCAACTACGCCGGCGGCGGCGTGACCCCAGACATACACTCTCTGCTCGCAATTCGCAAAGAAGTGGGAAGAGATGTGCTGATTAACGTGATGATCCGCCCGCGTGCCGGGGATTTCGTGTATTCGACAAAGGAGATGGAGGCTATGAGGCATGACATTGCGCTGTTCACGCCGCTGGCTAGCGGGTTTGTGTTTGGCATTTTGGATGCGAATGGACGCGTGGATGTAGCAAGGAATAGCGAGTTGGTTGATATTGCGGCGCCGCTGCCCTGTACGTTTCATCGGGCGGTTGACGAGGTGGGGGATTTGGAGGGGGCGGTGGAGATGGTGGTTGGGTGTGGGTTTAAAAGTGTGTTGACAAGTGGGGGGTGTAGGAGTGCGGGGGAGGGGGTAGGTAGGCTGAAGGGGTTACAGGAGAGGTTCGGGAAGAGGATTGAGTTGATTGTTGGGGGCGGGATTAGGTGTAGAAATGTGGTGGAGGTGAAGAAAGGGATTGGGGCAGAGTGGATGCATTCTGCTGCTATTACAGGGACGGGAGAAGAGGTGGACCCAGAGGAAGTCAAGAGGATTAAAGATGCTCTGGCAAAAGGGGTGAATCACTGCGATGGTGATCAAGAGATGGCTGATTGAGTGATGACCACGTGGCTCGACATTGACGCCACAGCAAAATGATCAGACCGCCTGGGCAACGGCACTCTTCTTCCGAGAAAGAGGAAAAATCATAGCGTGAAAGATTGGGGTGTTGCCATGTTCAAGACATGATAATTATTCATTAAGCCAGTCGCATCTATGCGAGACCGCCACAATATGGACGAGTGCAGCAACCAGAGGGTATCATCCACAACCGATCAAACCCGAGTCATATCAACAAGGCGTCACATGAACGGTCGCATGCCAGCAGGCTCGTCCTGAACTTCGAGCCGGAGAAGAATCAACAAAACATGCCTATCTACAAAGCGTAGAGCGCGTATGCAACCGCACCGAGCACCCCCATGCCATCTGCACCAACCCGGCCTGCCGCTCCCGTACTCGACGCCTGCGCAGCTGTGCTCGTCATAACCGTAGTCTGTGGCGCCAACGTCATCGCTCCTGTGATCGTGCTGGGAGCCACACTCTCGCTGACCACCTGACCACTTACGGTCTTCACAAGCACAGTTCCGGGCAGCGTAGTCGGCGCCGAATACGTCGTCCCCGGAATCGTCGTCGTAAACACAATAATGCTACCAAGTTGGCCCGCCGGCACCGCCGAACCAATTCCCGTGCCAGTGAACTGCGGAGGAATCGAGAGCGTCGCTGTATTCGGTTTCGCCGACGGGTTCGCAGAATACACATTATTGTCCGCCAGCAGATTCACCGCCTTGCCCCCGGAGTTAAACTCGCCCGTCTTCAGCGACCCGTACGACCCATCCGGGAAAGCGTAGTTTGTGGTGAATTTGTCGTAGCACATGGCGACGTTGATGTTCTGGACGTTGACGCAGTCGAGGCTGGCGCGGCAGCAAAAGCCCGAGTCGGCGCGCGCATCAAGGGTCCGTTTCTGGAACTTGATGTCCTTGACGGAGGTTAAGACGTCGAGGTAGAGCGAGCTCAGGTCGGATGGCGGCGAGGTGCCGGTTGCGCCTTGGGGTTTGCATGGTTCGCAAGGGTCATCGTTGACGGCTTTGAGTGGTGATTCGAGGGGCGATGCGTATGCGATTGTCGCGAGGGCGAGGGCGAGGTATTTGAGTGACATGGTGTAGTATGCGACTATTTGGATGGAGCGAGTGTAGAATCACAATGTAGGTACTGTCAAATCCCTGAAAATGTGCGTCTCTTCAATCAAGGCCCAATAAACGAGTGGATGGAACCAGTTAGCAACACACCAGAGGTTCAGAAAGCGAGTGGGAGTTTGGCCGAGCGCAGGACGTGGGAGGTCCGATAACATATAGTAGCAAACCCCCATGTCCAACAAAGCACGAGTCAACATGGTCATTCGCCCTACAAGGTGCGCCGCCGCGAAAAACCGTTGCTTGTCTGCTTTAGCCCCAAGTGCAATGGTGACAGGAACCGTTCCGCTCTTCGCGAGAGGCACAATATCCGAAAGACTGGGTCCCACGGCAACCGTCAGGCGATCAATGCAAGCCAGTCGAGGGAAATTTCCGGCCACACACACCACTGCGAATCCTTAATCATGGATGTTAAGTCTCATGGGTACGGGCATGTCATTTGTTCCGTGATTTTTTCCTCTTCTTTGCCGCTTGACCTTCCGATCACACGCCCAGGATGCGCACGAGACCTTGGAAACTTTGCTATATGTACAGCACAACCTTGAAAGTTTGCGATCCGTCTTCAACATGATGTGGAGCTAAACGGCCCTTTCAAGATCGTATTTATGATTCGCTATACTCTGGCATTCGGCAAGCTGGTTTCTAGCTCGGTCGCTGCCGCGCTCTACGCTAATGACGCATAAAGTAGGGATCCGCGCCGTTGGAGAGCGTTAGCGCCAGGGGGCTTATGCGACCATCGTGATGGATGGGAAAACGCGAAAGCGCGGATGTGGACTGAGGCCCGTAGTTGTGAGCTGTCGTCCCGTTCTTGCGCCACGACTCCAAGCTTGAATGCTAGAACAGCGACTGCCAACAATTCTGCCACATCGTCTCTGAAGCCGTCTCTCATTGGCATAACAAATAGGCGCCTTGCCCTTGTCAGAAATGCCGCATGCTTTCCCTTGCCATGCGGCACTACACAAACTGGGCACTGCAGGTCTATCGATAGCACGTCTTGTCGCGGCGTGTAACTTATCGATTAAACTCTTGGAAGTGAAAAGTTCAAAATCTTGGAGGGCCAGAATGCATGAGAGCCAACGGAACTTGGTGATGCAGTCGCGCCGGGCATGAAATTCGCGATGCTTATTTGGCCAGGTACCACAAGAAAGCGGACCATGCCGGATACGAAGCAATATTGGACATTGCGGGCCCTCGGCACGCGAGAAATTCCTGCAAACAGCGGAGGCATCGATTGTGCGCTATTACATTGTTTCCACAGGACAAATTCGATTCGACACGCAATTTAGAGCAAGCTTCGCTCGGTCCGGAAGGTCTGCGTTGGCGCTGTTGGCCGTGTGCCAAATTTAGAAGCAAAGATCGACGCGTGGGTTCATGGTCTAGGGTGTCTGCGAGCGCAACGTTGTGGTTGCAATGTTTACCACGATGCTTGTTGATCATCTGAAGATGCTGATTTGGGTGTAAATGGCTATGCCGGGGTATCATACACCAAACGCCTATCCCCGAACGAGCTATTCCTCGCTCACGCTCCTACTGCTCTCCCTCAGCACAAAAGCCTCCGGGTCCACTGGCAAGCTCTTCAAGTTGACTCTGTGACTCTCTGCCCAAGCTCTGACTTTCGCTTTGTTGATGACTGCTTCCGCGCCGCTTTTCTTCCTGTGCTCCAGCACGTCCATGGCTTGTAACGTGGCTATTATGTCATCAGGGACGATGTACGTCTTTTCCCGTAGATCGAGCACTGTGATAGTCTTCTTGGATGGGCAAGAGAGGATGGCGCGAGCGAGCGTCGCGGACCAGTAGTGCTCGTAGGCGAGGTGGCCAAGATCAGATAGAGCTGCAAACATTAGCATAGCAACGGCACCGGGAAAGAGAATGCCTACGCTTCTCAGGCCCACCTAGGCGTCCCTCTCGCCTGCTCATCTCATAACTCGCTCCCATGAGTATCTGCGCTAAGCCTTGTTTCTGCCACGGCGGAAATACCAAGATGCATGCCAGATTGTTGCTGTCCCAGCTCATCTTTTCTTTGCTAAAGAAGCCCACTACCTGGCCTTCTTGGCCTACTCCGTCCTCACCCAAGCCAGTGTTTGGTATACTTGGTGTTGGGTTATGTGCGACGAGCATGTAATACAGGAAAGTCGTCACGTCGTAGAAGACGGACTTGGTGTCAAGGAATAGCTTCGCGAACAGACACAGGTTTTGCGTGTACATCTTGTTCTTCTCGCCGTCGATCTCGTAGAGCGAGTAGTTGTCTTTGGTGTACACGTTGACCCCGGGTGGAGGTGTATTACGGTGTGGACATGCTTTCTGCGCCCTGTTAACTGATGCGCTCTGCAGAGTACGGGATGAATCATACCAAATGTCCCAAGAAAGCTAGAAACTCCTTGCTATACTTGAAGCACCACTGACACACGTAGAGACGCTCTACCTTCCTGCCCACGACCTGCTCGGGGTAGAAAGACGGGTACCATGGCTTTATGAGGAGTGATCCGAAGACGACCTCGAGCACATTTGGCGTCACAGATGGCTTTTGCGGCGTCTTCAATGCGGGCGACGCGGTTGTGCCATTCAGAGAGCCCGCATCGGGGGCCATTGATTCGAAGACGACGCGACGAACCGTTGTTCACATGCTGGTGGGGTTGACAAGTGACGTGCTGAGATTTGGGTCGGTCCGGCAAACGCGACGCGAACGCACGTGCTCGGACATGCAAGTATCGAATAATCTGAACCAAATTGCATGTCACGCTGCACTTCATTTCCAAAGTAAACATATTTGTAGGAACCAATTCTGTCAACCAGATGTTTTGAAGGTATTCCGACTTCATCTCTCATGTTGTGGCAGAAACTTCCGATCATCTCCACATGTATCAGTCAAAATCCAACGTGCTCCCAAGCTACAGAAGACTGATCTCCGAAGACATCCTGACATCATCCCACGATCATCCATGGATCCAACAGTTTATCGAGTCTGTGCTGTTCATCGCTGCATCAACCACCGCTGGGACGAACCTGCTTATAGTGCTTCCCGGGCGTAGTTGGGGAAGCTGGTGGACTCTGCAGCGCGGTCTCTTCAATCGCTGCACATTGGTACTCATGAAGAGCCTTCAACACAGCCTTGTTGCCCGAGTAAGCCTGCCAGGCCGCTTCGTCATCCATGATGGTCGATAGTCGAGCATGGATCTGCACGATGATCGCTTTGCGCAGGCCGCAATCGATCTCAGGACAGGACTCGTCGTAGATGCAAGCTGCCACATCTACAATGGTGACGACATCATGGATGAATGGCATCCGATCGATGATAGCGTGGGCTATTTTGTTCTTGATTGATTCGAGATTGTACTTTAGAAAGGTTAGTTCAAGTCATCTAAGGACCATATGTAACATGCCTTGTCGGATGCAATGAAAACATCAAGGAGATTGCTTATAATTGCTTCCTTTTCGATCTCGCGTTGCAAGGCGAAGCTCGTGAATATGGACCCAGTCGTGGAATTATACACGCCATATAGCTCTTGGAGCATGACCGAAACCGTACCATCAGACTCCGGCAGCGAAATCGATTTCTGTTCCGTCTCCTTTGAAACGTTAGCTTTGTACTTTGGTCACCTGAGGGAGGCGCTTACTGAGAACGATCCATCGCAAACAGCATTGAAGTATTGGGATCGTGAACATAGTCTGGTTGTCGTTAGCATGGACATTCGGTTGAGTAGCAATGAGACTCACAACACGCGATGGACAGGAAAAGACCTGCCTCCTGCGATGACAGTGAAGTCGAAACACTTGCCAGACTTGTACACCCTACAAGTATCAGTAAACTTCTCAATGCAACAGGACTCTAACTTACTTCGCCCAGTCAAACGTATCAGCATCGCCAGCTCTCATCGACGCCTGGCACCTCTTAGACATATTACACATCTTCTCGATGCTATAGTCCAACCGATTGAGCGCACTCAGCGACGGCGCCTCAAACACCTCAAACTCCATATTCCTAACCTTGGTCGCCAGCCGTCCCAAACTCTGCATGAAGTTGCTCGCATGATCTGCAGTAGAGAACTCCAGATCGATCTGCGTGTGCTGCATCAGGACGCAGACCTTCCTGCAGCTCAGACCGGGTCGGGAGCATGCTGCACGACACCGCGAGACTTCGAAGTACACGGGCTCATCATCGGGGAGCTGCGCCATCGTACCGACTCCAGCTGCGATGTGGAAGAAGAGGCCGAAATCTGCGTTGGCGCGGTCGAGGAGTAGGTAGGCGTTGCTGGGAGACGTGAAGTCATGGTCGACTACGAAGGACCGGATGGGCCAGGTGATGGGCTCGTGCTCTAGGAGAGCGTTGGGTGCCATATTTGCGTGCGGTATCGATTGGTGGATCAGAAGAGAAGGAGCAAGTTTAAGGGAGAGGTCGGGCGAGGCAGCAGGCTAGGAAGGAGCGACTAGCTTCACTCATTTACCTCTCACTATTCACTTCACGCATGGCAGCCATCATGAGAGTGAGTCGATTCTAGCTCATCTAAGATGTCTTGTGTAGCGGGTTGGTGAGGTACATTCAGACTTTTGGTGAGAAGTGAAAGAGGAACATTTTCCACGTGAAGATGAAGCGTGAATGTACCACGCCATCTGAGACGTTTTCAATACATGCAGGTACTTGCGACTGAATATTTCCATTACATTTATGCTGACGAGGATCGCACGATCGTGTGTTGCTTACGCATTCCTGAATAGTCCAGCCTGGACCCACCTCCCCCCCCCAAGATGAAGATACATATTCATTTTCACATATGTAACTTTGAGCCCCGATAATGCCAGTCCCACACTATGATACACTATGTTACGTACGACGGATATCGTGAATCTCCTCAATCAAGTGTGGATGAAGTATCGCCCTCTACCAGGTGGTCGGGACCTTGGGATAGTCCTTCTTGGAGATCTTGAGGTCGTCGAAGATGGAGTCGTCGCCTACAGTCTAATTAGTATATTTCAATAGCAGAAATTGAGTACGACTTACCATGCAGGTGTTCAACACGAAGTTCATCCTCGTGCTCAAGCTTCTCAAGCTCCTCTTGCGGCGTCTCCTTGTCGTGCTTCTTATCCTTTGTGGTGGGCTCGACGCCACTATCAAGTTGCTCTCCGATAAGCAGAATCTGACAGTATTCGTGGTCGATATACTTGGGTTTGACCTCGGACCATGCTAGACCGCGAAACTCTTCGATGATTCTGATCATTGTCAGTCTTAGACAACTGTCGAACACTAAATTCACTCACTCTTTGGAGAAGTCGGGCTTCTGTGCCAATTGAGCAGATGCTGGACCACTGCGCTCTGGGTTTTTGACGCTGATGATGAAGCTTCCCTGATCCTTGATTCCCAGATCCTCTTGGACTTCACCGAGATCAGATGGAATAGTAGTGGAGTAGACCAGATGGGTAGTTCTATCTTCGGTCCGAGTTATGGCGTACACGCCTTCGGCGACAGGAGTGACTGGATCCACCTGTCGTGTGCCTTGCGTCTTAGTCTCGTACTCACTGCCTTTGACTGTAAAGAAGTCAGTATTGCGCCACGACGACCCGTTTCATGTGTGATCACTTACAGAAGTTGTCCTTCAGGTCTTGGATCGTGGTGTTGGCCTTCTCCACAAACGCCATGAACCGATCGGTGTGCGACTTGGGAAATGTTTTCTTGGGTAAGGCGAACAGACGGTTGTTCTTGAGGTCTGGAATGGCACCCTCGCCCAGCTTGGCTCCGGTTGGAAGCGGCCTCAGCACGAAGAAAGTCCGCTGTAGGTCACCCACGCTCTCCGCATCGTCGATGCCGACGCGGTTACGGGTGAAGAAGTAGATGAGACCTTTCTCTAGGATGTTGGAGGGTACTTCCTTCTCGCGCTGCGAGGACTGTTCAACGGCACCCTCTCCGTTGGCCGCGTCTGGTTTGGCCGCATCATCGTTGGCCTCTGCCTTCACGTCATCCTTCGTTGTTTCTACCTTTGCAGTGCCATCAGACACATCTTTCTCGTCACTCGTGTTTTCTTCGTCTTCCTGGGCCTTGGGAGCGTCGTCTTTCGTCTCTGCTTCACTCTCCTTCGCGTCACCACCGTTGGTGGCATCCTTCATCTCACTATCTTCGTTCGTGATACCTGTTTCCTCAAGCGTGGCTTGCTTTTTGGAGGCTTTGCGACCCCGATTTGGCGACGGCTCAGCCTCAGGCTTTCTCTTCGATCCAGCAACTGCATCATCATTCTTCGCTGGGCTCGATCCAGCGTTGCGCGGCGAAGAGCGTGTTCCTGCCATTTTTTGGTATCGCGATGTGAGTAGTGGACAGTTAAAAGAAGTCAAATGTAGATGATGAGGGAGGATTGATATGAGATGGGATGGAAGAAGATGCGGGCGAGAGCACTTGTTTGTTCAATGCGCCAGCGCGAAGTCGTGTAACGCGCCGTCCATGATGTCACTTCAACGCCTAGTCACGTGAACGCGTATCATGACGATTGCAACGCGTGCGAGGACGCTATTACGTCGCACGGCCTCGGGCATGGTAGTGCGGTCACAACTGTATTTGGTATAACGTTGAAATGGTAAGTTTGCTTGCCCATCGAGCAAGCCACAACTACAGAGTCGTGCTGTTCAGCCTCCCATCAGCAAACGATTTCCAATTGAGCCAAAGCGATTGCCCAATTCAAGCTTCTTCGTTTCCTTTACGGTCCATAAAGACGCGTATACCGTCCGCTATGCCTTCTGGACTTGGCCTCTCTGCGCAGACGTCTGGCTGAAAGCCAAACTCGTGTTGAAGATAGTCGCGAGTCGTTGGGCCAATTGTCGCAATGTTGAGGCCGTTTCGAGCAGAAGACTTCGCACGCCCTGTCTGTTTGTCGAGGAGGTCTAAACTTTCCAGCATCGCCTTGCATCCGGTTGGGGAGAACACTACGACCCACTGCCGTTCGCAGCCAGCGTCCGCGTTCTTGCGCCACAGCGTGGAGAATTCTTCTTTGAAGGACTGCATCTCACCCGTCTCGTATATAACCAGTTCATCCACTCTGCATCTTCTCTCATCACCGAGCTCTTCTGCCTGCAGCGTCTTGGGAATGATGTCCCGCCTCTTATCACCGACGAGAAATAACAGCGACGGCTTTCCAGCACCAGGGTACAGATTATTGTAGTGCTCGAGCATATATGTCGCCAGAGCTTCTCCATTGCCAGTCTCGTCGCCGAGGATTGGGCATTTCAAATCTAACGACCTCAATCCACGCGCAGTTGCCGGTCCCACGACATACAATGGGAGACTGTCCGGGAGGAGATCGTCGACATGATTTCCAGCTTTTCGAAGCTCCTCGACAATGTCAGCGAAGGCTTCCACAGCGCGCTGGGAAGTGAAAATTAGGGCCCCATATGTCGCAAGGCCACCTTTCGCTTTCGGTACGAAGCCGCGACCAGTAACATGCTTCCGCACTTCGTCCAGTGCATCTCGCCTGAAGCGATGTTCCAGGACGGGAACGAAGACAGGTGTGTACCGATGGTCGTCTAGGTTCCTAAAGAGCTCCTCGTATGTGTCTCTTGGCGCCGACTTTGTCTTGAGGAGCAAGATGGGAATCTTGCCCCGTGATTGTTCTGCCATCATGTCGAGTCAGGGTAAGGACGAGGACCCGACGCAGGTGAAAGACATGGTAGCTATGGCGCTAGCGCGAGCTCGGGTAAAGTTGCGATTCCGCGGTAGGAGCCTCGAATTTCCCCAAGCGACAGAACCCTCGATTTCGAAATAGTTGTCCTCCGCAGCCAAGTTCCGCCCTCTCCTTCTCATCGGACTCCTTAGCCTTTCCCCACATCACCGATTGCGCAACTCGCCTAGTCAACCTGAAATCAAATTGACTGACTTCGCAATGGCTGACGTTGCAACCCCACCCGCTGCGGAAGCCACCCAGGGCAAGCAGCAAATCGTCAAGCCCGAGAAGCCTGACGAGGACAAGTACAAGGAGGATCTCGCCAAGGCCGAGAAGGAGCACGCTGCGGCTCAAGAAAAGCTGGTAAGCCATCTTTTGCTTTGGGCGCTCTTTTATGCGACAACGTGGGCTCGGTCTCATGCATCGAGCCGACGGGAAGCTGCATCGCATGCGAATTTTGTGCCGCCATACTGACTGCACAGAACGCTTGCAAAGCCAAGCTCGACCTCGCCCGCCCCAACAACAAGGACTCGCCGAACGGAAAGCGCCAGCAGGAGCTCAAGACCGAGTTGAACGCCATCCGCCAGGCCCAGCAGGGCAACAAATCCTCCCGCAGCGCCGTCCACGAACAGATCAAGAAATATGACGAACAGCTCAAGTCACGACTCAACGAGCTCAAAACTAGCAAGGGCAAGGTCAACTTCAAGTCGGTCGAGGAAGTCGACCAGGAAATCGCACGTCTTCAGAAGCAGGTCGATGGCGGCATGATGAAGCTCGTCGACGAGAAGAAGGCCCTATCCGATATTTCCAACCTGAACAAAGCGCGCAAGCAATTCTCCGGCTTTGATGGGCAACAGAAGGATATCGACGCGATCAAAGCCAAGATCGCCGAACAGAAGAAGCTGCTCGACGACCCCGAGCAGAAGGCTCTTAGCGAGAAATACACCGCGCTCCAGACAGAGCTGGACGGGTTGAAGGCCGAGCAAGATGAGGCTTTCAAGAACCTCAAGGCTCTTCGTGAGGAGACGGACAAGGCGCGTGCCGAACAACAGGCCAAGTACCAGGCACGAAAGGAGCTCAAGGACGCCTACTACCAACAGAAGCGTGCTTTCCAGGAGTACGATTTCCAGGCACGCAAGGTCCGCAACGAGAAGCGCCGCCAAGAGCAGCTTCAATATGTTGCTGGCAAGCGCAAAGAGGTTGCCAGCAAGCGTCTAGAAGAGGCGAGCGCGCCAGCATACCAGGACGAGATCTTTGCGACCGAGGGCCTAATTCGTCATTTTGACCCATCGGCACTGCCACCCAAGGAGACCGCTGCGGCCAGCAAGTTTGCCGCATCAAGTCAACGTACCGTCGACGACTCGGGTTTCAAGGGCACACGGATTGTGAAGAAGGAAACCGAAGAAGAGAGCTACTTCATGGGCTCTGGTGGTAAGAAGGGCAAGAAGGGCAAGAAAGCCGCACCCGCCGAGAGCAAGTTTAACCTCAACATGGGCGTCATTGAGGAACTTGCCAAGGTTGGCCTGGACGCACCCGCAAGCCAGGCCGACGTTCCCGCCACTGTCGAGAAGCTCAAGGAGAAGCTTGCATTCTGGAAAGGCGACCAGGACCGCAAGACCAAAGAGGTATGTCAAGACGACCCTGTTCTGACGTACAACATCTAACATATATCTAGAACATCGCAAAAGCACAGAAGGAGATCGAGCGTCTTGAGGCTGAGGAGGACGAGGGCGCGAATGGCACCACGGACACTGCCCGCAAGCCTGCCCAGAAGAACCAGGCTGTCAACGGAAACGCCTCAGCGGAAGCTGAGCTCGAGCAGGAGAAGGATGCCGCTGCAGATGCTGCAGAGGACCTCAAGAAGGCTTCGCTCGAGGACAACGCGGATGCTGCTGAGGCTTAGAGTGCCGCGAGTGTGTTGCAAGAGGGGAGGGATCACACCAAAAGTTGGGCCATTTATGTTGACTATCTAGGTTTGGGTCCTTGATGATTCATTCATATCCTGAGATTTTTACGTCTTAGGTGATGTTCAGGAGTCATAGCGTGGCATTGCTTAGTTCATGATGTGTTATGTGGGGTTCTCTTATATTATAGAAACTTATGACACAAAGAATGGTAATACGCATCTCTTCAGTTTCTTATTATGCTCTGACATTGTCTGCTCGTGAAGCCCTGGTAGATGATCCGAGGTGCATGGCGTACTTCGTCAGCGAATGACGGAGTATGGTACCATAATGAGACGACGCAAGCCCAGGCCTCGCAAAAGCAGATCCGGTTTGTGTCTTGCCCGATCCGCGTGCTCTGTCAGGCCAGTTTACGGTTACCCCACAGATACCATGTGGGGCTGAATTGCTCTTTCTGTTTGTTAGACGAACTGACGTCACTATGGATTTGTACAGACTACTTAGTCTCACAACATGCAGCCCTTCGTCAACCACTACCCCACTACACCACTCAAACACTTCAAGAAATGTACGCCCGTATTTCTCTTCGCTCTGGGTCATCTCTACTTAGAACGTCACAAAGATCTTGTAATAGTAAAGTCTTCGCCAATTGCGTGCTGACAGCTGCCGTCCAGTCACCCAAACAACACGCTATAACCCGCATCCACAAACACAACATGTCTTCTGGATTCAGCAACACCGACACCGGCTCCAAGAATGCCGACCCCTACACACAGAAGAACAAGGAGGAGCCTTCCTTGAAGGAGAAGGTTGAGGACCTCCTCAGCTTCGTCGACAAGACCAAGTTCTGCCTCTTGACCACACACGTCGCAGACAGTGATCTGTTGGCTTCAAGAGCTATGGCTGTAGCCGCCAAGGTAAGTTTGCATTGCTCTTAGTAGACTCTGAGGCTAAGAATAAACAGGAAGCAAACGGCCTCGATATCCTTTTCCACACCAACACCGAGTCTGGCAAGACCGACGATCTCAAGGAAGACTCTTCCGTCAACATTGGTTTCATCAACAACTCTGGCGAGTGGGCGTCCATCTCCGGCAAGGCGACCATTGAGACAGACCGCGCTGTTGTCAAGAAGCACTACTCACCAGCTCTGAAGGCTTGGATTGGTGACCCTTGGTGATGGCAAGCAACGATGGGTGGTCCAGAGGACTCCCGTATCGGCATCATCTCGTGTCAAGGTCAGCACTGCTCAGTATGCTACATTCGGAGAAGACTCAGATCGGGCGGATTCATCGAGCTGGCAAAGGGTGTTGCTACGGAAGAGTCCCCAAGCGTGAACAAGCTGAGCACATCGGCGAGGTAGAGTTTCAGCAAATGGAAGTCGCAGTAGAATATAACGGAGCCCGTTCCCGCATTAGAATAATTGCCGGCACCTACAATGACCGGAGTCTTGAGCAGAAGACAGTTAAAATGAAATCACATTGAACAAAAAACAGTGCTCTTGTGAAAACCGTGGCGATGATGCAATGCAACACGAGGGCTCGAGGGCTGTAGCGCGAGACGTGAACATGACGTCAGACCACATTCACATGTTTGAAACCACCCATGTTCGAAACTTCGGACGCGTCGGACAATTCTTCACATTCTCAGTCGGACTGTTATACGAACAACATTCTATCTTCATAATGGAGAATCCAGGTAAACATCTCCCCTCACAGTTCTCCAATGGCATCTAACTCTCCAACTAGTGAAAGAGATTCCCGGCATAATTCACCTCCTTACTCAATCGCCTCCATCGATCCAATACGAGACGATCGAAACCTACTTTACCCCGACCGCCAGCTTCACGCACCCATTCTGCCGCACAGGCAGCCACGACAACTCGCGATGGCTCATAGCCGCCATATACAGATGGTACAAGATCATGTCACCCCGGATCGACGTTAGCGTGCAATCCGTTGCATTCGACGAAGCGAACCTCACCCTCTACGTGCAAATCTTTCAAATCTTCAGGATATGGCTGGTGCCATTCTACTACGCGCCTGTAGAATTGACCACCGTGCTGAAACTGCGACATGACAAAGGCGACAACAAATACTACATCCACAGCCAGAACGATCTGTACCAGGTTGATCAATGGATACGGTTCATCTTGCCGGGAGGGCATTTGTTGATTTATCTGTGGCATGCGTGGGCGACGTTCTTCTGTGTCGTAGGGGCATATCTGCTCATACCGGTGACTTGGATTGAGGAGTACATGGGCTGGGGACAAGGGAACAACGCGGCTTTGGAGAGGCAGAGAAGCATGAGCGATAAAGATAGGGAGTGGAAGTGGCTGGATGGACGGAGTGATGAGCGGGTCGTAATGGAAAGTGAGTTGCGTGGAAAGCTTCTAGGCTAGAGAGTGTTTTGTTGAATTCATTTAGATTCAAAGAGATTTGTTCAAGGTTGCATTCAACCTTTCAAGTGCCGTTGTAGTTCAATGCGTCGAGAACCTAGAGACGTGTAGGCGCGCAGCACCTATACTCGTGGCGCAATTGACTTCAAATCGAGCACTTGCACATGGCAAATTGAAACACCATGTTGCAGATGGTGGACTCCTCAAGAGCTGTGACACAAAGTTCTTGAGATTGTTGCCGCCCAATGAGGAGTCCATGGTTCCCTTGCTGACCCCAGCACGCCAGCGTGGCTTTGCATGAGCATGGATCCTGGGCTGCTACAATTTTGTGGGTGCACCGAGTGCCGTGGCAATTGGGTACTTCGTCAGTTGGAATGTGCTCATACGGGCAACGCAGGTGCGTCATTGGCATGCTTAGTGACCTGAAATCACTTTGCAGCAGATGAGGTCGCTGCAACGTGGAGAAGAGTTGTCGAACGCCGCTCGGGATCTGCAAGGAAGTCGCTTGGAACGGGCTTCAGCTGCGATGATTGGGCCACAACCAACACTCCCGCATCCGAGGCGCTCCACCTAAATTCGAGTGAACCACATTCTTGCGAACACGAGGCGGTGACCGCATGCTGGGCGTCCCTTGCACATCTCGCTTCTCTCGTTCCGGCATGCTTCCTTTTCTTCTCCTCTTCGAATCTCACGTTGCCATGTTCTGCGACCCCATGCCTGGGCTTGCGGGAGGCACGACATTCGTCACCGCCTTGCATGCTTTGCCCTTCTCAGCCTCTGTTGTAGCACAACGTAGTCTCCAGTGATCAGTCCAAGCATGCACGCGATCGAACACTGCACCACTGTCGATATTCCATTGCCGTCTGTGGCGACTGCTGTCCCCGCACCGGCCCTTCATCGCCAATATCAGATTCATTGAGCAAGCGCCGCTCCCGCTGGCTAATCATATAGCGAAGCCCTGCGATAGCGACGTAGCATGGTGCGTAGAAAAAGCAACCCATTCCGGCTATTCCGTGCTACCTGGTCGTGCTTTCTCGGGCTGACATATCTGCACTGCCCGTAGACTGACCGCGGGAGCGCTTTTGACGGCCGTCAGCCGACGTCACGGCATCGCAGCCTTTCTCCAGAAGACCCCAGATACCGCTATGAGAACTTGAGTTACAGCTCGGGGGCTCATGCTGGTGGCCCTTCCCGCACACGACCTCGACCGTCCCGTACTAGCTCCGACGTCAGCAATCCCCCGCACGCAGCCTCTCCACCATATAGGGACAGTAGTAGAGCAAGTTCTACCGCGAGCAAATCCACTCGAAATACATTGAAGAAGGTTCTGAGGCGTGACTCGTTACATGCTGATGCCAGTCCTCGTTCACCGAACGGCCAGTATTATCACGAGGGAGGTAGCTCCGGCAACGTATCCAGGCTCGAACAGATAGAGGAAGGCAAGAAGAGCAGACGTCTCAGGAACGAAGCGAGTTCAACCCGTCAGCTCTTCAGTTGAACCCAAGGACGAGGCCGGCGGCGGAAGGGTGGAAGCCATGCTTCGGACTCTTCACAATCTCATCACAGACATCGAACGCCGCAGCATAGTAATAGTCCTCTGACAATGTCTAACCCCTCTGTGGTCTCGGTGGCGACGGACATTCACCCAGAATCAAGCGTCTCAAACAGCAGCAGTACAACAGTCACGCAAAGATCCCAAGACGATCGGAGCGACGACGAGGACAGTGAATCTGGACCAGAAACATACATATCAGAAGCATCTGAACGGCCCCATAGAGCTTACGACCGCAGAGGCCGATTCCCGCCCCAGCCTAATGTATTCCAGTACATGCAGCAAGTTCCTACCGTTGAGGAGTACTCAGACGAAGAGAACGATCAGTCCGCATCGTCTGCCGCTTCTTCGGCTTCGTCCGAGGGAGATTCGGATCACGAAGGCACACAGTCCTCTCATACAGGAAGCTCGCAATTCGTGAAAGACACTCCAACCACCTCACCAGCCTCGACGCGCATGTCAGAACCTGGTAGAAGACATCAGCCCCGCTCAAATCGCACACCAAAAAGACCATTGTATGCGAGCAGTTTCGTGCATGGTCACGGCGGTCGTGAAGATGAAGAGTCTGAAGGGTCTGAGGAAGCTAGTGAAGACGAAAGTGACGAGGGTGAGGCTGATCACGAGCCACCTCAACACCATGACCATGGTCACGCGCCGAAATCCGCGCTGCGAAGAATTCCACCACCGACGGCACCATCTCCATCATCTGGACACAGTGATACGCGCGCAAAACGTCTCCAGCAACAGGAGCAAGAACTTGCCAACCATATCTTGCAGAGCCCACAGCCCAAGAAAGACTTCCAATTTGCAGGTGGTCCTTCTCCTCAGCCCCAACCGTCTATGCCTCTGTATTCACCCAATGCGTACTCTGGCGCAAGTCCAGCCGCGTTTGAGCCTACGGCAGGCTATCAAGCAGAGTGGCCACAATTTCCGCCTCCACTACCTATCGGATATCCCACACAATCGATGCTCGAGTCCCCAACAGCTAGTCATGCTCTACCGCTGACCGTGCAACCACCAATGGGAGTGCCTGGTTTGCAAGTTCAGCAGCATCCTCCGCCCGTTCCAACAGCATCCTGGACAGCCACCACAGTACCAAGCACATGTACCGGCGTCCGATATAACCAGGACCACGGCTGTGGGCTACGAACTACTCGCGAATAAGCTAAGCGAGACGCCCAAGAAGACCAGTAAATTTCTCCGCAAGGGCGGAAACGTCGTACCGATATACCGCAAATTCGAACACTTGAACCACCGCGTACTGCTTCACCTGCAAGACGAAGTCTGTGAAATGGAAGAGGAACTTCGATACTTGGACGAGAGCATCAACCAGATATCTCCAAGGAACGAGACTGGACATGCCTTCCCAGCATCACGGCGAGGAGACGCTCGGTACGGGAGCGACTTGCATTACAAGCGGACAGAGCTACTTGGCCGCATCTTCCAAAAGCTGGGGCAATACAGTAAGTGCTATGCCGGTAACCCTGCGTATAAAAGCAGTTATGCCACATGGTGGACACCAAACGCCACATGCACACCGATCACGCAAGCGAAGACTGACTAGGGTACAGACCAAGCTTTGACGACGTTCAATGGTCTTTCCAAGGACCTCGACCCCGCGAGCGTCGAAGATATTCAAGCGTACCGCGCATGGATAGAGAAGCGGACGCCCGTTGACAATGCGGAGACTAGGTTTCTTGACCGCAAGAATGATCTTCTGGCAATCTCACGCCGACCATCTGTCGGACCCATGCATGGCGGTCAGCAGCAGCCTCCTATAGTCTGGCTGCCCCTGGTCCTCGTGCTCCCCATCTTGGCTTTTGCAATAGTTCCGAGCTTACTTGGTCGACTTGTTGTTATCACTCTTATCGGCGCCGCGGGGCTCCGACAGGTCACGTCGACACCTGAGTTGATGAGCTATATGACCATTCAGGAATGGTCCATTGCGGCCGCTGTGTAAGTGCATTTTAATTCTCCGCATCTTGCTGCCCAATGGCGACGTGAAGAAGCTGCGATCGAGGACACTGTTCGCTACAGCTGGACAATGTGTTTGCGGAGTGGCTGGTACACGTGCAAGATGCTGTCAACTGTCAGCTGAGCTGATGGTGAGAGTTTCGGAGTGGCCGCCAAAACGTCAGACGCGTTGGAACCGCAGTAGCAGTCCTTCTTCTTCTCGAGTTTATCCGGACATCCCGCGCATCCCGTGCTCTTGACCTGTTCCTGAGGTTCACGACGACGAAGCTAATGCATGCAGCTATTTCGGGGCTATGGCGCTTCTTGCGGGACTCGTGCGCTGACAAGCATGGACTTTTCCGTGTGCGCACATTCCACGGTTGGACGCGGAGGGTTTGGGCGGCATGATCGCCGTCGTTTATGGCGCACAGACAGGTACAAAGTGCTTATTGTGGAATCAGGCACATGAACATGCGCCTGGCCCGCTCGAAAATCACGAGCAAGAATGCGGAGTCGGTGAAATTGTGCGCAACTTTGTTTCTTTGTCTTCACTTTAGTCTATGGGCCGGGAACTTTGTGGATGGGGTGTTGCGGGATAATTGAGGGTGTGGTGCGGTTAGAGATGATGGGCCGCCCAGTTCACGCTGGCGTCAGGCTTGGCTGCATTTGGGCGGGGTTTTGACCCATGGCGAGGGCGCGGACGGAGCGTTCACCGGGCGGTTGCGAGGCTGACGCTGTGCAAGAAGGATCGCAAAGAGTAGGTGGCCTGATGCTCTGTGTCGAAGTGCAAGCGATGTACGGAGTCACTGTCTGTCCTGAGGAAGACGCGCCGCTGTTCACGTTAATGTGGCGCACGCGTTTCGAGTAGGATTTGAGCCGGTCACTTTGAGATGGCCATGTTTGCACAAGTGCGTGCCCTCAGCCACAGGCTTTGGATAGAGATGGTGATCGGACCGAAGGAGTATTGGGTTCCGTCAAGCATATCGGAGGCGCATCGCAATATAGTAAGATAGGCAGTAGATGATGTCAGGATAGACAGCAAGCCGACGACGAGGCCGCGCATCGATTTGCATTTCCAAGCATTCTCGTCCACCCCAGCAGATGCCATGTAAACAGGTCGACGGGCAGCACTGGCCCAAAGCAGTGCAGTGCTGAGGAACTGCAGAACGCAGACTGGCGCTAGTGCCGTGTAACTATCCTGACGGCGGCGCTAGGGCAGCTCTCCGCACGACGGCCATGGCACCGTGGTCTACACCAAACAAGACGCGTGTTGAGAGCGTCGTGAAATCGGATGGGGCGGCCTGCATGCTGCGAGTGCATTCCAGGGCGATAACGCGGCAGCAGCGGGCCCACACGCGCTCGCAGGCGGTGCTGGTGGTGGTGAGGTGCAGGCTGCAAGAATGGGCGTGTCTCTGGCGACGTCTGGTTCCTGGCTAAGCAGCGGCTTGACTGGACCTGGGGCTTGCCTGCTTTGGGCGGTGGTGGTCGGGATAAGGGGCGACTTTGGCATTTAGCAGCACACCTGACCGTGGGTTTCAGCAGGAACCCTGCGCGGCGGGCCTCGTACTGCGGGCGTCCAAAGCTCGGGGTTGCGCAACACAGACGATGCAGCAGGCGGGAGGGCCTCAGCACCCTGGGCCGGGCTGGCGATTAGAGTCTTGATACACTGCTGCAGCTACCGCCCAAGTGCAATCCATCAGTGCATGCAAGTGCTGCTGCTTCTCCACACCCCGTGTCCCGTCTAACCTCGCGGTGCTGTTTCTGCAGGCCCCGGCCCACTTAATTACTCCTGCTAGACGCAGCCGATGCGCTCCCTGAAACTGAAACGGCCTTCGCTGTTGCCCTACATACACACTGCATCGCTGCTACCCGCCGGGCCTCCTGCGCCTGCCCTCTTGCCCTCGCCGTCCCTCCTCACCCTCTCACCACCGCCCGCCTGAGGCTTGACACACTCAGGACTCACCCCATTGACGCTGGCGCGCCCCCGCACCGCCCACCGCCCGCCCGCCCACCACTCAGACAGCGCCGCGCCGATCGCACCTCCACCCCAAAAGTAATTTCTCAGCTGCCTCGCCCTCGACGCACACAAACGACCGCCCTATTCACTCTCGCTGGACGAACCTCCCCCTGCAACCCGCCACGCCGTTTCCCAGTCCCCGGCAGCGCGCACAAAGAATTGCTGCGAACCGCCCGTTGATCGCTAGATAAAGCCGCGGGTGCGTAGCCCAACCAGACACAAGCCACAGCCGGTACCTGAGCAGCGACTTCTTTGTCGCCTTTCCGCTAGGGCTCCTGCAACAGCACCTCAGACACCAAGAGGCTCCCTTGGCCACTCGACACGCCAGCCCGCCGTCCCAGATCCCTCCAACATGGCCGTCTCGATGCTGCATGCCCCGTCGCGGGCGTCGACATCGTCTTCGTCGTCCTTCATACCCGTCTCGCGCCAGAACACAATGTCCTCACACGATGGCTCGCGCTCCGTGCGCCAGTCGAAGCGCTACTCCGTGACCGCGCTGTACCTGTCCATGTCGGCAAAGGACAAGGAGCTGGAGATTGAAGACGACCTGGCCAGAGGTACGTTTTCAGTGCGGATAGCATGCGAGCTCACCAGCTAATTGTTCGCAGCCCAGAAGATCCTCCGCGAACTCAAGTCCAAGATCTCGTCGCAGTCGAAGAAGAACTTCGTGCTCGAGAAGGACGTGCGCTATCTCGACTCGCGCATCGCCCTGCTCATCCAGAATCGCATGGCACTGGAGGAGGTACGCCAATGCCAATTCCGCTGACATGGCACCACTGACCACATGCAGCAAAACGAAGTTGCAAGCCACCTCGAAGAAGGCATGGAGCTCCAGGAAGGTTTCTTCCCCAACGACGACAAGACGCAAAAATACGGCAACCTGCTGTTCCTCCTACAATCAGAGCCGCGCCACATTGCGCATCTCTGCCGCCTGGTCTCCATGGCCGAGATCGATGCGCTGCTCCAGACCGTCATGTTCACCATCTACGGAAACCAATACGAGAGTCGTGAGGAGCATCTGCTGCTGACCATGTTTCAGGTATGATCCCCATCGAATTTCGGAAGAATAAATGCTAATCTCCCCGAAACAGTCTGTACTCACCTACCAATTTCGACAACACCCCGGGACTATAGTTCGCTTCTACGCGCTAACACCCCGGTCTCTCGCATGATGACCACATACACTCGACGAGGACCCGGCCAGAGCTACCTCAAGGTCGTGCTACAAGATAGGATCAACTCACTAATCGAGCTCAAGGACCTAGACCTCGAGATCAACCCTCTTAAGGTCTATGAGAAGATGATCATAGAGCTCGAAGACCAGGGCAAGCTGCCAGCCAACCTACCCAGGGCCGTCACTGCAGAGCAGGCCACCGAGAATGAGAGAGTGCAGCAGATCATCGCACCACGCGTAACCATGTTGATGGAGATTGCCAACAACTTCCTCACTACCATCATTAAAGGGCTCGAGGAGACACCATACGGTATCCGATGGATTTGCAAACAGATTCGCAGTCTGTCGAGACGCAAGTACCCCGACGCCCAAGATCAGACAATATGCACGCTCATCGGTGGCTTCTTCTTCCTCCGTTTTATCAATCCTGCCATTGTTACACCGCGGTCATATATGCTCATTGACGCGACACCCGCCGAGAATCCCAAGCGTGTCCTGACATACATTGCCAAGATGTTGCAGAATTTGGCGAACAAGCCATCATACGCAAAGGAGCCGTATATGGCTAAACTCCAACCCTTCGTCCACCAGAACAAGGACCGAATCAACAAGTTCCTCCTTGATCTCTGCGAAGTCCAGGACTTCTACGAGAGTTTGGAGTTGGACAATTACGTGGCGTTGTCCAAGGAAGGATTTGGAGCTGTCAATCACGCTCAACGAAGTTTATGCAACGCACTCATTACTAGAGAGGCATCAAGCTGAACTGGTAGGCAAAGCGGGCACGCAACCTGCAGCGTATACTAATCACATGCAGGCAAAGGATGATAGCTCGCATCTTAGTGTGATCCTGCAGGAGCTTGGCCCTGCGCCTGCTCAGCTCCCGCGAAAGGAGAACAGGGCTATCAATCTGCCTTTGTTTAGCAAGTGGGAGACACCTCTGGACGACTTTACAGCGGCACTCGACATCACACAAGAAGAGATCTTCTTCATGGAGGCAAAATCGACTTTTGTCATGATACTCCGCTCTCTGCCACCAAACAGCTCCATCACCCGGAGACCGCTGCGACTGGATAGGATCGCAGAGGCAGCGGCTACAACCAAGAACGACTCTGTCATGGTGAAGAAGGGCATCCGGAGTATGGAGCTGCTCAGCCAGCTTCAAGATCTGGGTGTCATCGACAAGGAAGACCAGTTCTCACTGCTCAGAGACGAAGTCGAGCAGGAGCTGGTGCATCTCGGATCAATGAAAGACAAGGTCATCGAAGAGACTCGAAAGCTCGAGGAGGTCTTCCGGACGATTCGCGACCACAATCTGTACCTTGTTGGTCAGCTCGAGACATACAAGTCATATCTTCACAACGTCCGCAGCCAGTCTGAAGGCAAAACACGAAAGCAACAAAAGCACCAAGTTTTGGGACCATACAAGTTCACACACCAGCAACTAGAAAAGGAGGGCGTCATCCAGAAGAGCAACGTCCCCGAGAACCGAAGAGCCAATATCTACTTCAACTTCACAAGCCCACTTCCCGGCACCTTTGTCATCTCGCTCCACTACAAAGGCCGCAACCGAGGACTACTGGAGCTCGACCTCAAGCTAGACGACCTGCTCGAGATGCAAAAGGACAATCAGGAAGACCTAGACCTTGAGTACGTTCAATTCAACGTCTCAAAAGTCCTGGTGCTGTTGAACAAGCGCTTCGCACGAAAGAAGGGATGGTAGGGCCGTCTACTTCCATATCGCGATGCGCCACCTGAAAGCTATGATACCCCCGACTTTTGCTATGTCCTCGCCGCAGCTTTACGCTTTTCCGGACGGTGAAAACGCTATTCTCTATTTCGATGACACGGTTCCATTCCTATCTGTGGCGGAGTATGGAGTAAACTTTGTCGGATCTTATCTACTACCTTATTGTTCTGGGATACCCTTGGTGTGGATTTGAGGTGAACGAGACGTTTCACAGACTCTCTGAGGAGTTTGCTCCATCGCGTGATTTCCTTGTTATTACTATCAATTTTCTAAACCCTCGCTCTAATCACGCATATTGTACACAAACTTTCGAGGGATGGACTACGATGGAAACATGGGTCTGGGGACCTTGATCGAACCGGCGTTGATTTTCTTGTCCTTTGCGCGTCCTGTTGCTTTATGTGGGTGGAAACGGCAGGACCGGCATTGTTACTATTTGTTTGAGCGATATCCAGATGTACGATATGTGATTTTGAACTATTCGGTACGTGCTGGAACGGAATGCCACGGGACGAGACCGGGTATGGCAATTAATGGATGAGCTCAGACTGCTCTTTTTCCACTGCGAAGGCACACTTGTCACTGCCTGGTGATTGAAGCTCGGAACTTGCCGTGTCCTGGTCTCCCATGCCTTCGACGGACAAGGAAATGTAGTTCTCCATCGCCCTTTGTCTCTGCCATCCTGGTCTACCAGCTACGTCACCCGAGTCGCTGCAAACACACAGGAACACGTCTATTGGCAGCTGTGAAACAAACGGCAACAATCGGAACATCACGCAAGCTGCAAGATAAGACGCAATAGCGAGATAGCGCTAGTTGGCGACCGACATCATCGCATCGTCCTGATACGCACCTCATGCACGGTGCCTGTCACACGGAACATACCCCGCTAGGCTAGGCAGACGGCGCGTTGATTGGCTGCACCACCGCCTCATTGACGGGGATAGTGTCGGGGTAAGGCTACGACATCGGGGACAACGCTGTGACTCTTCCATGATCAACTTGCTTCTCTTCTTTGCCTCGAACAATCTCTTCTCTTACTTCAAATTGTCTTAACTCTTGGGCTTGTTGTTTTTGAATATCTGAACGTTGGAAAGCGTCGGTCGGATCAACCATGTCTTCTTCACACCCGCCTGCAACGTCGAGTAATGCGATTGCGATCCCTAGGCGGAAATCCAAAGTCCATGGAGCGGGCAATGCGGGCGGATCATCCGGAGACAGCTTCCAGAAGTACGGCAGCTTCAGCTCAGGCTCGCCGTCCTCTGCGCCGTCCTCGATTCCGAATGCGAGTGGGCGGAGGAGGGAGAGCTTGATGTGTGAGTCCACCTAACCCCTCGGCTGCTTGGGGATGGAGGATCTAATGGAATACACAGCTGCATCATTCTCGCAAGTCGAACACACCGTCATCAACGTCGGCGAAGAAGAGCGGCCGCGGCTCATCTCGTGTGTCAAGTCCGGGCAGGGCTTCGATTGGAACCAAGGTACACACATACTACACCTCCTTACATATGCGACAATAGAAATGGGATGCTGACGCGTTTTGTTGCGTAGAAATATTCCTGCCTAGCTACGCCGATTACCACTTCGATAACGATCTCGAGACAAGGAGGGATCCGGTTACGGATATCATTGTTACGGACGAGGAGATTGGAAAGATGTTCCCTGAATAAGGAATGGGTTTACATTGGCAGGGGCTTCGGCTATGATTTACATGGGTTAAGAGACTGGTACATTGGTGTTTGGGGGATATGCTTTGCTTCTGGAGTTACTGGGTCGATTGTACAATATGGGTTTGGCAACGGGTATGGGCGCTGGGATGGCGTTGATAGGCTGTTGCATACGCAATTCTGGTTGCACTCGGATACACACGTAGCTACCATCACAATCAAACGTACATGACTCTCATAGCAAGTTGACTGGCGGTTCACTATCTGGCTTCCCCGCGCCTCGGCATAGACGCGGTGATGCCTTATCGATAAGCGCGTTGTCGCGACTAGTGTTTCCGCGCAAATGGGACCAAAACAAGTCAACACCCCAAACAACGGCGACGGCATCACGACTTCATAGCATTCCCGACACTCGAATCCCTCAGAATCAGCCCGCTTGGTCCCTCCGATAACGTCCAAGTTATCACAAACGCCCCAGATCCTGCGCAGCGGCCCCCGCGGCCCCAAACCACATCCTCCACCAAAACAATGGACACCCAACACCGCAAAATCGAGCTCCAATCCCCCTCAGATCTCACCTTCCTCACCTCCCAAATCCGCACCGCCGCCCGCCAAAAACTCGACCTGCACCTCCCTCCCGTCTCCGACTCCTCCGAACCCGACGAACTGCGCCGCCAAGTCGAAGACCTCGTCGACGCCTTTGTCGCCCAGGTGCTCGCGGGCATGAAGGGCAACATCAGCATCAACGGCATGGACGTCGAGGGCGCGATTGACGGCGAAGGGACTGTCGAAGCGACTATGGAAGGGGTTGAGAGGGAAGAGTTTGAGCCATTTGATGAGAAACTACGGGGCAAGGTGGGGAGCACGATTGCGAGGCGGGATGCGCTGGTGGGCAAGATTAGTGCGCATAGGAGGACGACGGGGGAGGCGGCGGCCAAGGCTTTTCAGCAGCAGTTTGAGCGGGAGAATGAGGTTGTGGCGAAGCAGGTGGTGGAGGAGGGGGATATGGATATTGCGGGTGTGGATGCATTGGAGAGGGAGGAGGAGGTTAGGAGGAATTGGGAGAGGGCGGTGGAGGGTTTGGGCAGGTTGAATAAGGGGCTGCCGGAGACGAGGGCGCGGTTGGAGAGGGCGGGGGATGTTGTTGGGTATCTTGGGGGAGAGAAGAAGGGTTGAAATATATGGGGGGAATTGGTGTTTGGCGTTTTGGTGGAGTGGGATACCCATGTGTTTTGTGGTCTTCGGCTTGGAAATTTGCACTTTGAAACTTTGAAACTTTTGAACAGCATCACGGTGTGTACAAAATTGCATCAGATTGAGCATGTGTCAAGCCCTGTTCTTGACTTGCTCTTACGATCATGTTCACCAGGACTGCTAGACTCCAAAGGGTGCCAAAGTTCGCAGCCAACACAGTATCAAAAAAAAACCGAGGCATTCGGCTCGCCCTCCTTCCCATGTGCAACTCAGTGGAACTCCACCTGCAAGTCGGCGCAAACTCCCGATCATGACTGGCTTCGAGGTATCCATGGCGCACAGTCGGCGCGCGGGCCAAAGTTTCCGCGCGACCATACGTCATGTTGAACATCCCGCAGTTACCCGGCATGGCGTAAACAGAGGAGAAAAACATTGAAGATGCCTCCCAGTGCTTGAATACCACAATTGAATGAGGTAAATTGCAATTGAAGAAACAGTTTTTTAAAGCATGTTGTCGTCTAGGCGATTGCCGACTGGTGTAAGGGAGTTGGTGCGATCACATGCGCTTTCAGCATCTCGACGAAGCGCGGTTGGACCGCAACAGAAGAGGTGTATTACGATTGAGCAATTGAATGATGGCAGAGATAGTAAGTGTTATATTGGCTCAGCTGGCTAAGCCAATTGCTTCGAATTTCGCATCATTGCAATCCAATTGCTAACCACATCCACAGATCGCGAGCGCGTCGTGATCCTGGGATCAGGCTGGGCCGGCTTCACAGTCGCGCGAACTCTCGACCCATCTAAATTCCAAGCTGTAGTTGTATCTCCAAGGTCTTACTTTGCCTTCACCCCGCTCCTTGCCAGCACTGCAGTGGGCACACTCGAGTTCCGCACTGCTCTAGAGCCAGTGCGAAGTCGGCGCACCAAAGTGGATTTCTTCCAGGGATGGGCTGATGATGTGGACTTCAAGAATAAGAGCATTACGATTGAGGAGGCCGTGGATGATCCTACGCAGGGCATGGCGTTGACGACAGATCGTCATGCGGGTGAAACGAAAGAGCAGAGAGAGGCTGAGAAGAAGAAGGAGGTGGCTAAGGGGAGGATGTTTGATCTGACTTATGATAAGTTGGTGGTCACTGTGGGGTGCTATAGTCAGACGTTCAATACTCCTGGTGTACGAGAACACGCATACTTTCTCAAAGACGTTGGGGACGCGCGAAAGATTCGGAACAGACTTCTGGCTTGCTTTGAAGGCGCGGCACTACCTACAACAAGCGAGGAGATGAGACGACAACTACTCCACTTCGCAGTTGTCGGTGGCGGACCGACAGGAATTGAGTTCAGTGCCGAATTGCATGATCTGATCAACGAAGACATGGCAAAAATCTACCCCGAGCTGATTAAGTACCACAAAATCACAGTCTACGACGTTGCAGAGAAGGTCTTACCCATGTTCGACGAGAAACTGGCAGGATACGCCATGCAGAAATTCAAGCGTGAGGGCATCGATATCAAGACGAGCCATCATGTTGAGGAATTGAGTACAGGAGCACCAGTAGAACGAAGTGCTTCCGACAATGTAGACGACTACCGTCTCTTCACGCTCAAGATCAAAGAAGAAGGTGCAATCGGCGTGGGCATGTGCGTATGGAGTAAGTTACCATCCCCTTTCAAGCTTCACACACATACTAACATACCTCCAGGCACAGGACTAATGCAAAACCCCTTCGTCGCCCACGCACTCGACGGCGTTCGCGAAGCTCCCTCCAACCTCCGTCTGCTCGAATCAGATTCACCCTCCTCCTCCTCCTCCACCACCCCATCCTCCCCTCCAACTAAATGGAAACTCCAAAAGACCCCAAATCAGGCTCCATCATCACCGACGACGTCTCGCGTCGAACTCGTCCCCAGACACTTCTCCTCTTCCCCACTCAGCGATCCACCCGACGTCTTCGCCCTCGGCGACTGCGCATCATGATCACCACGTACCCGGCAACCGCACAAGTCGCGTCTCAAAAAGCTTCTGGCTTTCCAAACGCCTCAACAACAACTCTATCGACGCGTCCGGCTTCACGTACAAAGACCTGGGCACGCTGGCGTACATTGGGAATTGGGATGCGCTATTCCAGGGGGGTAGAGGAGGGAGACTGCAGGGCTATCTGGCGTGGATTATCTGGCGAGGGGCGTACATTACACGGACAGTGAGTTGGCGGAATAAGATTTTGGTACCGGTTTATTGGATGGTCAATTGGGTTTTTGGGAGGGATATTAGTCGCTTTTAGAGGGGAAATGGGTGTGTTTATGGTTAGATGCAATGCTTGTAATGGAAAGAATCTACTCACAATCCTAATATTTCACCCTTTATTCTTCGGATGTGCTCGTGAACTGCGTCAAATGTCAGTCGCTTGACAAGAAACTGCATACCAAGGAGACACCCTCGGTAACTCCCCAGTACTGAGTACCAATCCTTAGTACAGAAGAAGACGGAACGAAATAGGTATCAAGGGCAAGAAAAACATGTCAAGATGCCTAGATTATTACTTCAGCCTTAGGGTAACCGACCAACACCTAGTCTCTGTACTTTTGATTCAAATGTTTCCAAATCAGAGCCTTGGGAGAAGAACTTGTACATAGAGCGGTTTGCCGACTTTTCTTCCTTCCATCCATCTAACAAAATGAATTATCAACAAAATCCAATTGAGAAGTTAGCTCACTGGGAAGACTGAGCTTCAGCAAGGGCTTACGCCTGATTGACAGCGGAAGTGTTATTTTCGATGCGCCGAAAAAGAATCATACATGACAAGCTGTAATCCAAATAGGAACATGAATCTGACTGAACTTCTACAAGAAGCAAGACTGAATTCGTCAAACTACAGCGCGGCGCGGAGAAATTAGCATGCAGGTTCGAATGAAAAGGCCTACGTCGACACCCGTCTCTTACCAATTCCCTCGATGATCTTTCCCCACACCCAAAAGCCGAGACACAGAAGAGTTATACTTCCACATCCCACCCCTACCCCACACATTAAGCATGGGAACACAAACCGACACCTTAAGCTTAGGCGCGAGTACGAACCATTTCGAACTCCCAGCCCTTGAATAATCGCAACAACCCGCCAGCGTCGTCGCAGTAGGGCTTATCTCCGCTCTTGAAGTAGCTTGCTCCGGCACCGATGAGCAAGCTGATCAAGAGCGTAGCAATGGATTTGTCGTATATGTCGTATATGCCCGTCATTGACCACTTTTAGAATACTTGGTTAGCACGGATTGTGTATCAGGTCCTGAGAAGGGAGAGTAGGCACCTTGTAGTTCATGATTCCTATTTGAAGCTTTGTTAGAAGCTGGTACGATGACGTTGATTTGCGGAACTGTGACTTACCCATGATGGCGAAGAAGACAGAGCCTTCGTACCACCCGGCTTGTACGGCACCGCGCAAAGCTGTGGGCAGCGTGTTCAAGGACGGGTGCTTGAATTGGTCGAGACCTTTTGTCTTGTCATATCGTTAATGCAAGGATGCTCATGGGAGGTGTAAAGCTTCAGCGTACTGTATGGCCTAGAGCGAGCACGCCGTGCGCGACGGCTGCAGCGAGGAGCAGAGGGTGTTTGTTGCTTGTTGTTGATGCCATTGCTATGCAAATTATACAGATTGAAGTTGGAGATCAGAATTGAACATGTAGCGGATGTTGTAGAGAGGGAAAGAAAGAAAGCTACAGAGTCGTGTTAGTCTACCGAGGCCTTTTCAATCGTATTGGATTGGATGGTGATTTACCCCA